AACGATTGTTGAAGGCAAGGCTCGAGTTTGCTTTGTTGGCGGTTTTGATGACTTCCAGGAGGAAGGTTCATACGAATTTGCCAACATGAAAGCCACCAGCAATGCGGAGGATGAGTTTGCTCATGGCCGTACCCCGCAAGAGATGTCTCGTCCCACAACTACCACACGTGCTGGTTTCATGGAGTCGCAGGGCTGCGGTATGCAGCTCATCATGAGTGCCCAACTTGCCCTAGACATGGGAGTCCCTATATATGGTGTCATTGCCCTGACTACGACAGCAACTGACAAGATTGGCCGCTCTGTCCCGGCCCCCGGCCAAGGTGTTCTGACCACTGCACGCGAAAACCCGGGCAAATTCCCCTCGCCTTTGCTGGATATCAAGTACCGTCGCCGCCAGTTGGATCTGCGTAGGAAGCAGATTAAGGAATGGCAAGAGTCCGAACTGCTCTATCTTCAAGAAGAGATTGAGGCCATGAAAGCGCAAGGGCTTGCGTCATCTGACCTATCCGATTACACGCAGGAACGTGCCCGGCACATTGAACGGGAGGCTGTGCGGCAAGAGAAGGATGCTCAATTCAGCCTGGGCAACAACTTCTGGAAGCAAGATTCTCGTATTGCGCCTCTGCGTGGTGCACTTGCTACTTGGGGTCTCACGATCGACGATATCGGTGTTGCTTCGTTCCACGGTACTTCTACGGTTGCAAATGACAAGAATGAGTCCGACGTCATTTGCCAGCAGATGAAACATCTGGGCCGTAAGAAGGGAAATGCTGTTCTTGGTATTTTCCAGAAGTACCTTACTGGTCACCCAAAGGGTGCCGCCGGTGCATGGATGTTCAATGGTTGCTTGCAAGTTCTCGACAGCGGTCTGGTACCTGGCAATCGCAATGCAGACAACGTTGACAAGGTCATGGAGAAGTTCGATTACATTGTTTATCCCAGCCGTAGCATCCAAACGGACGGAATCAAAGCGTTCTCCGTCACGTCTTTCGGTTTCGGTCAGAAGGGTGCTCAGGTTATCGGTATTCACCCCAAGTACCTCTACGCGACCCTGGATCGCTCTCAGTTCGAGGCGTACAAGGCGAAGGTTGAGTCTCGCCAAAAGAAGGCGTATCGCTTCTTCCATAATGGTCTGATCAACAACAGCATCTTCGTCGCTAAGAACAAGGCGCCCTACGAAGATAACATCCAGAGCAACGTTTTCCTCAACCCAGACTACCGAGTGGCCGTTGATAAGAAGACATCCGAATTGAAGTTCCCAGCCGTGCCTCCAAAGGTCAGCGACAAGGATGCTGAGAGCACCAGACAGGTGGTTGAGTCGCTCGCGAAGGCTCATGCCGAAGAGGACTCCAGGATAGGGGTGGACGTAGAGAACATTGACGCCGTCAACATTGAAAATGAAACCTTCATCGAAAGGAACTTCACTGCCAGTGAGCAAGAATACTGTCGCAAGGCACCATCGCCACAGTCCTCATTCGCTGGCCGATGGAGCGCCAAAGAGGCAGTTTTCAAATCGTTGGGTGTGTGCAGCAAGGGCGCCGGTGCGCCTCTGAAAGATATCGAAATCTTGAGTGATACAAGCGGAGCCCCTGTGGTCAACGTAAGTTTATCCCATTCTGATAACCGCAGGTTCTTATTCCACCACTAACATTTTCCTAGCTCCACGGCGCTGCAGCCGAAGCTGCCAGGCAAGCTGGTGTCAAACAAGTGAGCGTCAGTATCAGTCACAGCGATTCTCAGGCTGTCGCGGTGGCAGTCTCGAAGTTCTGATGTTAATGTATGCAAGATACGCTGGTATTATTGTTCGTGTCGATGAATAGAGTATACTACTATGTTATGGGATATCATGTAATTAGATGCTTTCAAGTGATTGATTCCAGTGATTTGAGATCATGTTCTCTTCCTTTCTTAGGTACTTAAGAAAGTGATCCATACTGACTGCTCGCCTTGTACTCTCAGCTGACGGACAATGTAACTCACACAGATACGTGTACAAGACCTAAAGCCCTAATGACGACCCATCCGCCGATACTGCAAAGTGTATATCTACAATTGTTAACATATTTTTTTCACCTTTCCAAGTGCTTCTATGCAGTTATTACACTCCCATATGATAAATCACGTGTGTTAGACTGTAATTATCCACATCGCGTATACTCTTCAACAGGGGAAGATTTGAACAGCCTTGCCGTGGCTTTGTGTTCTGGTCGAGACCATCTGCTTCTAGTTGAAAGCCTAGATGTACGTTTCCGAAAAGTAGAGTCACTGAACTAATCGCAGAATGTTCAGTTCAGGGCCGAGTGGATTGCATAGCAGCAGACTCCCAGAAGTACATCGGTTCCAACTGGCGCGGACGATCTTCACATATATGTATGCCAGATGACATGTTATTTAGCATTATAACCAGGACAATAGGGTGCGTTGGCAAATGTTTTCACTCTCACGCTATAGTACAGTGGAAGTGGCTCAGCCAAGATTGTTATTCGTAAATCATCCAGACGCCCGGTTGAGAGGGCCCCAATTAGCCCGAGGGTTGATTTGATACCGGACAAGCCGTTTCTTGGAACTAGACGCCTCTCTGCCCAGGGCCTCATCAAAAACGACCTCTAACGTGCTCAGATCTTGCTTAACTGCAGGTGCTGTCAGTGGGGGCTGGGGCCCTTCGGCCTGCTGATGCAGCTCCGCGCCTTGAATGCCGGGAGGGTGTCTATGGCTAGAGCGGTAGATCGCAGCTTCGACTTTCGTCACTAGGTCACTGATATCCTTTCCACTTTCAGCCGCAGATATGAGCTCTTTCCTCAATATATCGAATGAGTCTTCTCCTCTATCTTTTCGAGAATTTTCTCGACGCTTCGCCATGATCGCCGCTCCAGGAGTGCCAGGGCGGATTGCCCCTTCTTTGACAGGGGCCTTCTGTCTCACCCACTCTCTCATGATTTCCCAAATGACGTCCCAGGGTGCATCTGTACGAATGGTATTTGGCTTTGCATGACTACGCGTTGATCGGTAGCCCAGGGAACGGAGAGCTCCGCGGAACGCATCGGCAGATATAGTTGACGTGTGTAGAACTTTTGCCAGAAAACTCAGAGTGAAATAGAATGGAAATGGATCCCGGAGGGCCGGATCCGATCGAGGAATAATGGCCGAATATTCACGGGACGTGGACACTTCCGTGAGCTCCTCGTCAGCTGCAAGGGTGCCCGTCGGGGCAGAACTCGAGATCGTGTCCAGGTTCAAATCCTCTTCAAGAGCTGTGGTTAACATGCCCTCGATGCGCTCGACGGTATGGTAAATATCTCTATCGACATCGGGGAGCATGTCAAGAATCTTCTGGATGAAGTGAGGGTTATGGAGTGGCCCAGCCCACATCGGGCCGCCCACATGAGTTTTGAAGCCACAATGTTCACAACGTGTGCCTGCAGTAGGCCCTTGAGCGAACCCATAGTGGTAGTAAGGATTCCCTTTCTTGTCCAATCTTTGTTTCGTCTGCGTCAGAGGCTGCGTTGTCCATGCTCCGCAACCAGAGTCGCAGTTGAAAACTAACATTGTGTTACCTGAGGTAAACTTGACCTCTGCCGGCGATCGATGAACACGAACGAAGACACGCGCATAGAAGTCGATGGACAAGGAGAGAAGCGGTTCGATTGCAAGTCCATATTTCGCGGCCGACGTCGCCAGTCCATGTAGTATAAGGCGCAGTCCACCTTCGTGAGAATGCGATCCCTTGATGGGGACACCTCCGTACAAGGCATATGCTTTTTCTGGGTAACCGTTGGATGCCCATACGCCCGCATCGGTGCAAGTGACACAGAGAAGGCCACCGTCTTTGACACCTTGAACAGCAGCATCCATAAACGGAGCCGCGGTACCGTAAGGATCTAGGTCGATGACATCAAACTTGCCCGCGTGAGTTCCGCTATTCTGTGTGCTTGGTTGGTTTAACAGGCTGTACATGTACGCACGTGCATCCCCGAGATTGGGTCTAATGAGCTTTCCAAGACCGTTGTATTCGATGTTCGTCTTCATCCTCTGAATCGCAGAGCTTGACAGGTCATTCGCAACCACGCAGGTAGTGAAGGGAATTTCTGAGGCGTACCGTAGAGCCCGGAGACCCGTAGCGGAGAGCGCGTCCAAGATTGTGAAGGACGGTGTCTGCTGATCAGAGGTTGAAACAGAAGCACCGATATTTCCATTCGCCGCAGACGGTTGATCGATGTCTCCCTCAGCTTGTTCCTTGTCCTCTTCGTCTTCCCTCTTACGCTTTTTCCCCCTGCCGGAGCCGTTCCGTTTCCTCTCGGCTTTCAGCTTCTTGAGGGCCAGCACATGCTCACCATAGGCCTTGATCGCCAACACACTGAGATCCCGGTTGAATTGCTGGATTGGATTGTAGAAGACAGATTGCAACTGGTCTTCAGGTTTGAGGTCCTTTTTCGTCCCCTTGGAAGCTGCAGCCTGGGTCGGCGGGTTCAGAATGTATGCACGACCTTCTTTCACAGCCTGGTATTCCTGCCCATCATGCTGCACCAGTCGACTGGCACCATCGGCTGCTGTTGGATCGTCCATGACTGAAGATGCGGAGTAATAAAATCGGGGGAGAACTATGCCTGAGGGACGGTGGGTCACTGCATATATCGTCGAGGGATGCGAAAAGCCAAGGAACTCGGGTCTTATGTTTCCAACGATAGATCGGAATATTGTCAAGCTTTGGAACCGTTTAAGTGAACTCATCCACATCGGCTTCGGGTTAGCAAGAGTCAAATCTGGGCCATTGACAAGCTTGAGGTCCGCAGGCTGGTTACGGGGAGCAGAAGTGTAAAAAAAAAGGTCAAGAAAATGTATAACGCACGGACCCAACAACCGTCGGCATAACCGTATAAAGACCAACAGTGAACAACAACATCTGGTGACATCAACTGAGGATTATCTGCCTGTCAGTACGGAGGATGTGAGTCTATTATATAGTCTGTATTCGACTATTGCGGCAGTACATGTACTGCAATGAATATGTTGACACATTATTGATTATATTTCCTACTACTATACACACCCTCCGAGAGTAGTCGCCCCAGCGTCTGTCAATTATACGCAATAAGATTAGGTCATAACCAGACCCCAATGATGGGCACTCGGTCATACATACCATCCCAACTGCTCGCTTCCCAACCGGATCCTCGTCCTCCAAGTCCGATAATTCCAAGTGCGCCTGCAAGCCAAACAGATGCTCCTACCACTGCAATGCCATTGACAATCCACCAGATCTTTCTCTGCTTCCTCATTCGTTGCTCACTGTCTGCGTGGCCGAGGTACCCCTCGAGTGAGCCCTTTTTGTGTATTCGTTCCTTTCGGGCGGTGGTGACTCTCCACCCAATCCAATTTGCCCACCCCCCAACGATATGCCATACTCCAACGGCGACAAATATCAAATAATAAACGTTCCAAAAAACGGGGCTCCGCACAAACCCATGCGCAACGTAGCCAAGGCCGCCTCCCGAGCTCCCACCGTCGACCATCAGCGGCACGACGCGGTTGACAAGAACATGGGCACCGAGCAAGGGAACAAGCATATAGCCCAAGCGCGCTTGCAGGGTCATACGGGGCCAAAAAGTGAGTGAGTACCGTTGAGACCTTGTTTCGGCGCCGTAAAGTCGTGCCCTACGGGAAGAACGGATGTTCCGTAGGACGAGGCCGGAAGCAACATGGGCCAGGATGGGAACGGTAAGGATAGCGTGCTCAAGAGACGGCGACTGGTACAAAGGCCTTGTGAGGAGGAGATAGTTTTCGGCGGCAGGTACGGAGCGGGTCATTAGAGGAATGAGCGAGGTATTGGCAAAGTGTAACGTGAAGAATAAAGTCGGAGGGTATGTGGAATATCTCTGAATGGCGGACACTGCGGGTTTATTTATTAGCTTACACTTGACCGGTAGATGACCGAAGCATTTTCATCCAACATACACCAAGAATCCCAGTTATGCCCGCGGAGGCCCAGTTTGGGAAGAGACAATCCCCCATGTGGTGGAGCGTCTTGGGCCTTATGGAAGAGGTCGCCATTTTCGATATCACCAAACTCTTCAGAGACTGGAGATGGATCCAATTCCTGCATGGAAATCAAGGATCGTGTGTCGATATCATCGACCTTGGGCAACGACAGATCTTGAGGCGGCATTGTATATCACAAACGAAATATCTCCCTAGCTAAGAACGAATCAGACGAATATTGCAATGAATATTAAACGATTCATAAGTTCATCGCATCGTCATTATCATGAGCAAGCCTTAGGTAGCATTGGGAGAGTGTCCGTCCTCAGATTGTTGTATCTCCTACAAGTGTGTTGTGCCTTGCTTTTTTCCTGTTAAGCAGTTAGACTGCACTATCATTGGCTTGTCGGCTTCCACCACTCAACCCGACCCAACCTTAGGTACCTAACTATCGGAGCTAATTAAGGTATTTACTACTGATGTCTGCCGGGCAATTTGACAAACAATCAACACTCAAGATAGATCCTTCAAGATCTATTCCGACATTTACAGTTGAAGAGGATATCATGAATCAGTGAAAGTACCTGGTAGGTTGGAGTACGGCGGTGAGATATCGGCACTTATGCTGCCGACAGAATAAAGTAACGATAAGATGCTAAGCTATCCATTCATGATAGACGTCGAATGCCTTCCTTTACCAATATATAGGTACCAGTTACTGAATCAACCAGTCGATCGCCTGGGATCCATCTCCTCCCGTAAATCCCGTCAAGAATTTCTTCGCAAACATTTTTGGTCTTTGACCTGATCTGTTGTATGAGGTCAGACAGCCATGGCACCGGTATGCTTCCTGAAATGCGTCTGCTTTAAACGGTTATCGAGTTACAACCTAGATATCCGGTCTTGCAAACTTGCAATACAAGCTTACTGATTTCTCACTCCTTCTATCTTGTCTGCACCAGCGAGGGTTCACGAATCCTACTCCCAAGGTAAATCATGACTTGAAATCCCAGCGCCGTTCAAATCGATTGAGAGACTGCTAAAAAATTCCATTTGCGCACAATTTCAGACTGAATCTGCCCGCTCTGCTTTGAGCTCCTTCACATGTACTCTTTGCAATAAATCTTACTCGCGCCATCCGGAATATGAAGCTCATATCTCTTCCTACGATCACCAACATCGCAAGCGCCTACAAGACCTGAAACAATTGTCGCGAGATCCTAATGCTGCTGAAAAGGCAAGGAGGGCCGAGAGAAAGGCAGATGCAGAGGCGGGACTGAGAGTGATCGGTACGACTCCCGCATCAGGAGCCGCAGGAGCCGGAGGCGCCGGAGGCACCAGGGGGGAGGAGGGTTTAAGAAAGGAGGATTCAAGAGCTCCTTTACCACGGTCAAAGGACCAGTATCTGCTACTGTCTCTACGAGGAAAAATGTCCTAGGAGATGACGATGATGATGACGCCGACCAAGTGGTAGGAGCAGGTGAACCGAGCGAATTTGTTAGGAACAAACCCAGACAGGATACGGACGCTCAAGACGACAATGCAGAAAGCGATACTGACGAGGAGTACGCAAACGACGACACGGAGGCCAGTTTCTATGATCCTCGCAAACCTACCGATTGCTCGTCACGGTGCCCGGGGTTTCAGCATGAGCTTACCATAGCATGAACGATGTTGCTTTGCCACCGATTCGGCATAAAGCAGGTGCAATGGGCGCTCCTCATGATTATGCTAGCATGTGTTTTGGAGTTATGGGCTTTCTCTGTCTGGTTGGGGCGGTTTTATTCATGTACATAGTTATATTCTCGAGACAGCGTTGCTGGCCATGACATCTTCGCGCTTCAACCTGAGTTGGATGCAAATTCTGTACGTATAGATGACGCTTTGGCCTCGCTATCATTCTTGGTTGCCAAGTACTTTTGTTACTACCCAAAGTCCTGTGGATCGAGGGGATGGTAGCACAGAAAAAGATGGACAAAAGCTGACAAATTGAGTTTGGAGTTGATTCTCTAGTGTAGTTGTACAGTTTCGGATAAAGTTAATTTAGATTAAGAAACAATGGAAAGGCTTGCAATAGAGAAAGGGTACTAGACGCATGATTTTGATCCTCCAAATTCTGGGAACACCTCCAATTTATCACATAAAGCCAGTTCACAGTCGTAGAAGCTTGGCAGCCTGGCCAACGATAGTATCCTCTTGAGGGAAGCTCATCTGCTCAAGACCAACAGCGTAAGGTGTAGGAACCTCAGCGCCGGTAACACGAACAGCGGGAGCAGTGAGATAGTCAAAACCATACTCCATGGACAAGGCGAGGATTTCGGACCCGACACCGAACATGGGGAAGCCGGATTCGACGCACATCAGGCGACCGGTCTTCTTGAGCGACTGAATGATTGTCTCAACATCGAGCGGCTTGACGGACCGAAGATTAATAACTTCAGCTTCGACTCCATATTTCTGCTTCAGCTCAGCGGCAGCGTTGAGGGACTGTCCAACGCAGCGGGACAGAGAAACAATGGTCAGATCCTTTCCAGGACGCTCGATCTTGGCCTTTCCAAGAGGAAGAACGAAGTCATCCTTCTGGGCAGCCTCGCTCATGGGGAATGCTTGACCATACAAAAGCCTATCCGGGTGTCAGCTCAAGTCCGGCAATGTCAAGCGGTTCTGGCAGCACATACTCATTTTCAAGGACAACGACAGGGTTGGGGTCACGGATAGCGGCCTTCATCAGACCCTTGGCGTCCTCAGCGCTCCAAGGAGCCACGACCTTCAAGCCAGGAATACTGCCGTACCAGGCCGAGTAGTCTTGGGAGTGCTGAGCGGCGACACCAGCAGCAAATCCGTTAGGTCCACGGAAAGTAATGTTGCAAGGCTGAATACCTCCAGACATGTAATGTGTCTTGGCGGCGGAGTTGATGATTTGATCAATGGCCTGCATAGCAAAGTTGAAGGTCATAAACTCGCACTGTAGATGCGAAGCACCCATCAGCCTTCCAGGTCTATCCACGAATAGGTAAACTTTCGACTCACGATAGGGTGCAGTCCAGCGAGGGCGGCGCCAACAGCCAAACCACAAAAGCCAGCCTCTGTGATGGGAGTATCAATAACCCTCTTGGGACCGAAGCGGTCCAATAGACCTCTCGTCACTTTGTATCTGTGGTGATAAGAACAACGTCAGAAGAGAAGAATCACAGTATAGCACGTGATTGCGATTGAAATATGCAGCAAAACCAAGTAGCTAAGAGAAGGTAATCCCATACGCTCCATTGTACTGCGCAACCTCCTCACCCAGGATAAACGTCTTTGGGTTACTCTCAAGCTCCTCCGCAAGGGCTTCGTTCAATGCGTCTCGGACAGTAACTTCCTTAGTACCGCTTTCCGTCGCATATCCCCGAGCGCGTAGGATCGAGGGCGCACAGGCGGACTTCTGGAAAGTAGAACGGAAGGGTGTAGCGGAAAGTCGAGAAGAAAGCAGGCGAGCTGCTGGGCGGAAAAGTCGGGGGGCAGCCATTGCCGTCTCAAAGAGTGTAATTCCGGGAGTGAAAAGAAGAAACGACTTCAGATAGCTTCTTCTGCGGATGAGGATGATGATGTGAAGGAGACTTGCGGGAAGAAATCAGCCCCAGAACCTCCTAACTCCGTGTCGGACCTGGCCGTCGATAAGTTTTTTGGTTTTTGGTGAGAGCTTCGGGACTGTTGGGCTAGCGATGACTAAGCGCCGTCCTCACCGGCACCTTCTTCCGTATTATTGTTTATCCATGGCCATCGTACAAGTATAGATAGCTATCTATTACTATCTCGTTTGGACGGGGAAACGAGCTGCAGCTTACTGTTTCCATCCTAAAGTCATTTGATGGTGTGGGTCATTGCGCTGACCAGGATGAAGTACCTTGCTTACTTGGCTCTTCTCATCTCATCTTCACCCTGCCTAGCTATTCAGCCGTCAGCCCCAGATGCCATACCAGCGCCCATTCGCGATCTCCAATGGGGTCAGCTGAATTTCCTCCACACTACGGACACCCACGGCTGGCTGGCCGGTCATCTACAGGAGTATGGCATTGCCATCTAATGTGCCATTGTTGATGCTCGCTGATGCAGATCGAAAAGGGCTTCCTATGGAGCAGACTGGGGAGATTATGTCTCTTTCACCACCCGCATGCGGGAAAAGGCACTCGCTGAGGGGAATGATCTGCTGATAATTGACACTGGTGATAGGGTTGAGGGGAACGGTCTTTACGATGCTTCGGAACCCAAGGGCGCCTACATCTCCGACATTCTGCGTCAACAGCAAATTGATGTGATGTCAGCCGGCAATCATGAACTGTACAAGCAAAACACCTCGGAGACTGAATTCTTGACTACTGTACCCAATTTTCGTGGTAGCTACCTGGCGTCCAACATTGACATCGTTCATCCAACTACCGGAGAGCTCGTGCCGTTGGCTCCACGCTTTAAGAAGTTCACAACCGAGAAACAAGGCATCCGCATCGTTGCTTTTGGTTTTCTGTTCGATTTCACCAAAAATTACAACAACACAATCGTTTGTACGGTGGAGGATACCATTAAGACAAACTGGTTCCAAGAAGCCATTCGTGACGAAGAAGTCGATCTTTTCCTCGTGATAGGCCATGTTCCAGTTCGTTCGAAGGAGTACAACGCTGTTTTCGAAGAGATCAGAAACGTTAATTGGGATGTGCCAATTCAATTTTTCGGCGGCCATTATCATATCCGCGACTATGCTCGGTACGATTCTAAAGCGTACGGGCTGGCGAGCGGCCGCTTCATGGAGACCATTGGATTTATGTCAATCGACGGTCTGTCCACCAGCAAGAATCGGCTCAATCCTGCTCAAGCAACTCCCAGCTTCAACCGCCGGTACATTGATAACAACCTCTACTCCTTTCACCATCACACCGGTCTTGATCGGGATTCTTTCCCCACAGAGCACGGTCGAAATGTATCACATCTTATTCAGCAGTCCAGGGATGCCCTTCAACTGGATAGGGTCCACGGTTGCGCTCCTCAGGACCTCTGGATGACCCGAGTAAAGTATCCTTCTCAGGACAGTATATATACGTGGCTCGAAAAGGAAGTGCTTCCTAGTCAAGTGAAGGATGACTCTCGCGACGGGAAGCCCGCGTTGGTCATTGTCAACACTGGAGCCATACGCTTCGACATATTTAAGGGTCCGTTTACGCAAGATACGACCTTCATCGTCTCGCCCTTTACGAGCGGCTTCCGCTATATCAAGGACATCCCCTACGAGAAAGCGCAAACGGTAGTAGAAATTTTGAACAGGCAGCCGCAAATTTTGACTGCGCCTAAGGACCACACAAACTACACACCATGGACTCTTGCGCCGCCGGAGCAATCAATGCATATGCACGATAGGATTGTGGAAAGCGACGATGTGGCTGTTCACTATCTTACTGATCAGAGTCGGTTTCCAATGAGCACACCATTCACGCCTGAGGTTTTTCCTGGCTACACCACTGCAGATGATGGGGGTATAGACGGTGATGATACTGTTCATTCGCCAATATCATTCTACCGTGTCCCAAATTGCATTCAAGCTCTCATTTCTCCAGGGACGTCTGCCGATCCGAAGACAGTGGATCTCGTGTATATTGACTTTATCGAGCCCTACGTGGCGCTGGCCGCCAAATTTGCGAGCCTTGATCTCGATTTTGCACGGGATAGTGACGTCTATATGCCCTTTGAGACGTTAACTGATCTTATCTTGGACTGGGTCAAGAATAACTGGAAATGCGAAGATGCGTGATTCAGTTTCTAGTTCGGTTCAGATCACTGTTTGTGCCAATGGAATCAGTAAATGATCTGAATTACTGTAGCCTATTATGATTGCGTACATGCACTTAATATACTATTTATACCATCATCCCCAGGGATTATTCGTCCCCTTCGTATTTTAACAAGCCTTTACCTTTGCGGAATCCACTTAGAGTTTCCTGCACACCTGCAGCAAGCTCAGCGCCTTCGGTTTCCCAGGTCCATCTGATGTATTCCACCGGGATATCTTTGAATTTGCCGGCTCGAGTCAACTCCAGCACATCATTAATCGTGTTTTCCTTGAGCTCAGGGTGTTTATCTCCCCATCTGCTCACCCAGAAACCGTCGAAAACAAGGTTCTTGAAAATCAGAAGTCCAGATGGCAAGGCGACTGGCTGTTTTGACATGGCACCATAAGTGACCAGGTGCGAACCTGGAGCAAGGGTCTTCGCCAGGGCAGTGGCATTCTTACCACCCACGCAGTTGAGGGCTAGTCGAATTGGCTCCTTTCCTTGGCGGGTGAATTCATTCACCATGTTCTTGAATTCTCCAGATAGCAGCTCGGATTCAGTAACCACTGCATTGGCCCCAAGGTCGTAGAGCTCCTTTTTCAGAGCATCAGTTTCTTCGGGTGTCTTTCTCTCGCGAACAACATTGATCGTTTTGATGCCCCATTCGCGTGCAAGTTGGATTGCAGCTCGTCCAACACCGCTGTTTGCTCCGTTCTGGATGAGCCACTCTTCTCCGGCCCGCATCCAATCCCAGTCACAGAAATCTTTGATCATTCGGTAGGCAGTCACCGGATTGACACTGACTGTGCTGACCTGAAGCGGGCTCAGACCTTCTTTGTTTTCAATCTTGATCACCTGTGATTCATCTAGTTGTGCGTGGGTGCGCCAGGTGCCTTGTCCTGTCTGCTTCATTACGACCCAGTCGCCTTGGGCAAGATTCTTGACGTTGGAGCCAGTGGCAATGACCTCGAATGCGCCCTCGTTTCCCGCGACGGCAGACGGTTCCACAGTGCCCAGCGTGGTCTGGAAGGGCGGTTTGCTTGGGTATACCCCTTGAATCTGATTCACATCGGCCGGGTTCAAAGGCGCCGCTAGAAGACGGAGAGTGACTTGTGTCCCATGAGGAGGAGAAATCGAATGCTTGTGAAGCCTGGATGAGGGAGAAAAACAAGTCAGGCTACCGATCTATTTTCCCAGCGGTTGCAATCTAAGTGATCTTACCGTAGAACATCCTTCGGCTCACCATATCGCGAATAGACTAGAGCCTTTGATTGCGTATAGCCATATACTGAGATAAATCTGGTTTGCCCCAGACGCGTATCAGGTAAAAGGACTTGACGCTGGCCAGATGGCGCTGGAAAGCGAAGAGGCGAAGCTCTGCCTCTGAGGGCAAGGGAAACACCGGCACTGAAAGATCTGGTAGCTGATCTCACCACAGTACGGGAAAGCATAGTGACGTTTGGAGGTGTCAGGCCCTTCTTTGACTGTCAATTGATTCAAAGCCTCAGGTAAGGTCAAAGAGCCAGCTTCGTGTAGCAATTGTTATAATTGTTGTCGCTGGCGGCGTCGAAGAAAACCCGGATGACGTCGTTTCCTAGCCGTCGGGCGGAAGGAGGAAAGCTGCGCTTCGGCATAATAATTGATACTCATTCTGTTTGCGCAGACTGTAGAACATTGGAATGCTATATGAGAAAGAGTATGGACGGAGACACCATATCAGGTTCTTTATCACTTGATATTTTCTTGCTCGAGGACCTGGTGTGCCTGGTTTGCGGGCGTCCGTGGTCGAATGTATATTTACAGGTAGGCATGCGCCGGTGCAAAGCGACTATCTAGAGAGGTAGTAGAACGATCAAATTCAACTTGAGTGACACTCATTCTCAGGCAAAATAGTTACCCTAGTTCCCCAAAAGCCGACAGCTACAGAGGGAAATTCGATGAAGCCATACCGAAACCTCGCGAGATTGCTTAAAACAACCATCCCGACACTTCGCCGAAATGTTGTAAACTTCCTACCCGCTGCATTCAAATGTACCTCCAGTTTTCCGAGCCTCTGCCGTCGCTATCCCTGCCACCACCTACCATCACCGCTCAGGATATCTAAATGTCCTTGTTGCGGGAAGCTGAGAAATGTATCACTAACCAAAGGTCACATGCCGCTCTCAATGCCTTCATAACGACTGTGCAGCATTCAGGACCATGGCAAGAACAAGTGAGAGATGCAGAAGTTAGGAGAGAGTTGGGTAAGATCGCAGCAGCTTTTGTCCTGTTTTCGCTCTGGCTCACTCGGGCACTGACGCATGCTTTTTGAGACTAAAAGGGAAATCAAAATCCGAGGTCGATGGCCGCTTGATTGCCTTCAAAGACAATATTTGCACACGCGACTTTCCGACAACATGTGCCTCCGGGATTCTAGCCAAATTCACCAGTCCATTCAATGCGACCGTGGTGGAACAGCTGTCGGAAGCCGGCGCTATAGTAGCTGGTAAGACGAACTTGGATGAATTTGGGATGGGTTCTCATTCTCTCAATTCATGGTTCGGCCCCGTCAAAAATCAGCGTCAGTACCAGGAAGGACGAATCCTCTCAGCTGGTGGAAGTTCTGGTGGAAGCGCCGTCTCCGTTGCTACAGATCAATGCTATGCGTAGGTGGTTTCGCTCCTAAATCAGTTGAACTTCCTTCCTTAGGGGGCATGCCTGGAGTGCTGAACAGTGCGTTATAGGGCTCTTGGAACAGACACTGGTGGTTCGGTTCGACTTCCAGCTGCCTACACGGGCACAGTCGGCTTTAAGCCGTCTTATGGATTGGTCTCGAGATGGGGTGTCGTGGCATACGCTAACTCACTGGATACTGTTGGCATCCTGGCCAGAAATGCCTCGACGGCTCGCGATGTATTCCGTACGCGTCTCTGCGCCTCCCTGTCTCGATATGTGTGCTCTTGCATTGGAATCTAACTGCTCGGACTCAGGCATTGTGAATCGGCATGATCCACGCGATCCGACAAACTTGTCTCCGCGCTCTCGGTCTCGCATAGCTGCGCACCTCCAGCAACCCGCTCTGTTGTCTAGAATGACCTCGTCTCTGAGGATCGGCGTTCCCATTGAGTACAACATATCGGAACTCTCTCCATCGGTCCGACGCGCCTGGGCTCTCTCGATAGCTTTCCTGAGAGAGCAGGGCCATACAATTCACCCCGTCTCACTTCCCACAACAAAACTAGCTCTCTCAGCATATTACGTCCTTGCCCCAGCCGAAGCATCCTCAAACCTCGCCAAATATGACGGCATCAGATACGGTTCCCGCTGCGACGGTCCGGATTCTGGTGGACAGCCTGACAGCTATCTATATGCCAAAACTAGAGGGGACGGATTCGGTCCCGAAGTGAAGAGGCGTATCCTACTAGGCTCCTTCAGTCTGAGCGCCGATGCCATAAATAATTACTTTATTCAAGCGCAGCGCGTCCGCAGACTTGTCCAAGGCGATTTCAATGCTGTCTTTAGAGCAGAGCAACCGATGGCCCCTTCGCGCCAGAAAGGAGATGCTGAGTTGAAATCAAAACAGGCAGAGGTCGATGTCCTGATCTGCCCTACCGCCCCTTCATGTCCTCCACAGTTGGAAGACCTGGTTGAAATCGATTCCATTTTCTCGTCCCTGAACGGATACACGAATGATGTGTTCACAGTGCCTGCAAGCCTGGCTGGTTTGCCAGCTGCGTCTGTTCCAGTGAGTGTCGACTGTCGGGATGAAGGTTCTAGCGATGCAGATCTTGCTGGAATTCAAATCATCGGACAATACGGGGACGATGAGCTTGTCCTTAAAGTGTCGGAGATATTGGAAGGCAAAATTTTTTGATGTAGTCTTGTGATTCACCTCGATACCCATGATCAATCTCTAGTCGCGGACTACATAACTCATCCTAGACCAATTACAGGGGAGGTTCAGCGTAGCAGAGCATGTAATATACATCATATCTGAACACCTTAAAAGTTTCAAGACAGATTTTAAACCATATCAGCTGTACCTGCTCCGGCAATGCATTGTGGAAGTCTTCTGAGTTTCCACCCGTGCACATAGCGGCCTTGCTTCGTCCTTCGTCCGAAAAGGCATGCTTTGCTATTTCAAATATCTCCAGATGGACTGAATCCGAAATAGCGGGAGACAGATATGGCTCGGAACAAGCGAATCCCAGCCCGATCATGAGGAGAGGGCCTCAAAGTCATGACATCTCGACATCCTCTGTCCGGACTGTGTTCTCTAAAGGAGCTGAGGGTGTCGCAGGGTTGGGAGAACCCTCCTGGCCCACACTAAGAGTATCCTCGATCGTCAAATGGCCTGCGCCCGCGTTGGCGACGCCAGCTTCCAATCCGCTGGAAATATTTTCGGCGTCAGCAAATTCCGCCGCGCCAGGGACTGAATCCAACCGAGGATCAAACGCTGCCCCGACTCCGCCCTTCAGAACTTCGGAGCCCCCAACAGCACCGGCGCCAGCACTGTCAACTTCCGCATTGCCAACAACATCACCGTCAACACCGCCCCATATGAGCATTGCTTCGACCTCATCAACAATATCGGCCACGACATCTTCGGCAATCTGCTCATTGAAGCGTTCGCCAATGCCCCTGACAGGTTCGCCATTCTCTGCGTGAGATGGTGGTCCAACCCACCATGGTCCTTCAAAGCGACATTCCACGGCACCACCGCCATAGCAGCTGACAGCGGGGTAGTAGCCAATCATTCCGTCATCGGCGTTCTCTCGCTCACCAATGCCTAGGTTATTGGTTCCGTTTGCAAGTCGGCTGGCCGGTGGAAGGAACGCATATAATTCTTTGAATGGAGTACCCATCTTCTCCCCGTTTTTGAAGATTGCGATGCTCGAACCTGGCAGCGTGCGTAGAGAAGGGTCTTCGCTGTTGAACGGCGATGGTGGACCAAATGTGGGTGTCTCTTTGAGGTTGAACGCATAATCGCGTAGATGTTTTGTGGAAAATACGTTTGACTGCTGCCAGCAGAAATCGGACTTATAGTGGAAGGGAATGCGATCCCGAATATAATTTGTCGGTGTGTGAGCATCTGATGTCGATAAAGTCCCATCTCCGTCGACAGCAGGGTCATATGTCCCCTCGACTACTTTCTTGTGGACGGACAGTGGTGGAAGCGTGATGAGCATGCCGATAACGTCCCCTTCGCGAATTGATTCGCCTTTCGGAAAAAAATACTCGCAGCGCATTCTATTGACCACCTCGCCGTTTACATCACGGATTCCGTATCCGTAGCAGTCAACACCCACGTTCGCATCGAGATCAGCCTCCCGTCGTGCAAATCCAAGACGGACGTGACCCTTTGGCGTGCCTTGAGAAGATTCGTTAGCTGAGATAGATTGCGGATTATTAGGAATCCCGTTGATCACGCGCGCCTCGTAATAATATGCGCCCTCGCGCGCACATACATTAGCACGCGCAGTATGCCATGCGCTGCTGGCTGTTACCGCGCGCGCATCCTCACTGAAAAAAATTGCTGCGGGTGAATCCTCGAAACTGAACCGGGCATGATAAGGGGGAACGTCGGTCTGCCGGTACTTGATGTGCGGAAAGCCTGGATCGGCTATAGCATAGCTATAACGAAAGCCATTCTTATTTGTGAGTTTGTCAACAACCTCATAGAAGTTCCAGCTCTGACTGAGCACATCTGATGTTTTGCGGTTCACAAAACTCAGTTGACGAGGTTGCGGCGGTAATAGGTCCGAAGCTCTGGGTTCGGCAAGTAATAGGGGTCTGAGAATGCTGATATCGGAGCTCGGAAGCGCGGTGTTCGGGGCAACCGCGGCTTTCTTCTTAGGCGGGATGGATTCCTGGTCGAGACCCTTGGCCTCTCTTTTCTTCCGGCTATCGCGTTTGTTGCGTCTCGATCTTGCGCCATCAGCTTGCACCGATGCATTGCTGGGAGGGGCAGGCGAGGATCGCGCGATCTGGCCTGTGACTGTACCAGTAAAGAAAGGTGCGGTCCCTGGAGGTAAAGTCGGAGAATTGATGTTGGACGAAGGGCCAGACGACCCTACCGGCTGTATAGACGCCATGTGGACGTCAACAATGGTTCACGAGTAAATTGTAACCTGATGATTGGCAACAACAGGCGCACTGTGCGCGGCTCAAGTCAAATAACGCGACTCAATGCATTATCCGTATGTCTAACTGCGGGCTGCGCGGGACAAGCAGCTGACGCGAGGACCTTGTTGCGTGGGAGTGAGAGGAGAAGAGTTGAAAATATGGCTTGAAGAGACAGCCTATATTTTGCGCCCCGCAATCGGTTGCAATTCAGGAGAATGTGATCACGTTCACGTAGAACTTAGGTAGGAAACTATAAGAGAACATCCGCGTGTTAGACTACTGATAGGCTGCAACGAAAAGGGAAATACTGAATCTCGGCTGACCTTGCAAAGATAAATAGCTCCAAGAGTTTACTAAGAGCAATTCAAGTGAATGAAAATCTCCGCTCACAGCTCTGCTTCCAATCCTTAATGGATTCAAGATCCTGATGTAATCTCCGATTCCGCTCGCAAGGTGTGATAGAACGAGTCTCCAACAACTTCAGGTTCGAAGGACCCGAAGCTAATGATATAGAGTAATTATGCCGTCTCAGTATGATAGTCTTGGTAGACTAATTTAGGTCCTAGTCACCAAGAAGAGATAGACCCATCCCTTTAGTATTCAACAAGGGCGAGATTGGAGACCAGAGGTCTGGAGATATGATGTGAAAGCGGTCAACATAAAAACTCCGGCAAAAAACATAGCGCCAAAGTCATTACTTCAACCTTGCTTCTATGGAGAGGGGCACAGGGCGGTGGCATTACTGACCATTTACGGTGAAGTATTTCCAGGCGGTAAGCTCCAATCCTCTAAATGTAACTGGTAGATTTCTCTGTTCTGGCAGAAAAAGGTCCCTAAATCACATGATCTTGAAATTTACACACATTTTCCATTGAATCGCATTGATGTGAGAAAAAAAAAATAAGAATTCTAGACGTCACTTTTCACCTTCACTATAATTCCCTCTTTCGCTTGGGTACGAGGTAATTTAGTTTGCTCTCAATGCACTAGGAGCAACAACTGACATTCCTTTGGATATCGAAAAGTGAAAGCACAGCATGCCCAAAGTAACATCCTCTCGAGCTGCTGCAATAGCAGCCCGCAGGCACAATCCTCTGGCCGAGGATATCATAACCTCAGGCCATCTACGAACCCAATCCAGCAAGAAGAGCAAGCGTCAAGGGCGGCAGGAAGAGGATGGTGAAGATGGCGAGCGGTACATTGACGCGAAGATGACGAGAAAGATCTTACAGATTGGGCAAGAACTGGCGGAAGAAGATGCCGCAGAGCACGAAGCTGCAATGGGTGCAGCGAATATGGCAACTAATTCAGCCTTTGATTTTGAGTCGAGATTTGAAGATGATGAAGCTTTATCAGACGATGACGAGAAGTTTCGCGAAGACCAGTGGGGTGACGAAGAAGAGGAGATCGAGGAAGTGGTAAGAGGTTTCCGCTCAAACAAATATAACTTTCGTTCGTTTAACAATTTCGCCTTAGGAGGTTGATCCAAATGACCTTGATATGTTTAACAAATTTATTCCGGGTGGTGACGAAGATCCTATATTCAATCCTCGAGGAACCGATACAGGTCGGAGCACCAACCTGGCCGATCTCATATTGGAGAAGATCGCAGAGCATGAAGCGAAGCAGTCCGGTAATGGTGCACCCATGATTCAAGGTGGAGGATTGCCCGAAGACGCCGTTCAGATACCCGCAAAAGCTGTTGAAGTCTACGAAAAGTGAGTACATTCGTCTCATCCATTCGCATGGTCATTGTGCTTATGGTCTCTGCCAGAGTCGGCATGATACTGTCTCGCTACAAGTCCGGGCCTCTTCCCAAGCCATTCAAGATTCTCCCCTCTGTCCCCAATTGGCCAACTCTCCTCTCTATCACTCGCCCCGAGTCGTGGACAGCGAACGCTGTTTATGCCGGGACTAGGATTTTCATTTCATCGAAGCCAGCCGTTGCACAGGAGTTCATATCGACAGTGCTCCTTGACCGCGTTCGAGAGGAGATTCACGAAACAAAGAAGTTAAATGTTCACACCTACAACGCTCTGAAGAAAGCGCTGTACAAGCCAGCTTGCTTTTTCAAAGGCCTGCTGTTCCCGTTGGTATCAAGTGGTACTTGCACCCTACGGGAGGCGCACATCGTCTCTTCTGTCATCGCACGGGTATCTATCCCAGTATTGCACTCTGCGGCTGCTCTACTTCGCCTGTGCGACCTCGCCGCAGAACAGTCTCTCAGATCTCTCGAAAGCACGGGTGCGGTCAATGTCTTCATCCGTGTGTTCCTCGAGAAGAAGTACGCGCTTCCATATAAGGTGATTGACGCTCTCGTTTTCCATTTTCTGCGCTTCCGCGCTAGCGACAATGCCGAGTACTCGATGATGACCGATGGACCGTCTGGGGCTGCTACGAAAGCGTATAAGCTTCCTGTTCTTTGGCACCAGTCATTATTGGTCTTCGCCCAACGCTACCGCAACGATATCACTGAAGATCAGCGTGAAGCTCTCCTTGACCTGTTGTTAGTTCGGGGGCACAAGGATATCGGCCCCGAGGTCAGACGGGAATTGTTGGCAGGTAGAGGACGCGGCGTGGTTGTACCCGACCCAGAAAAGCAGGGCGCTCTCGACGCTGGCGATGACACGATGGATGTCACATTTTAGGCAACGGCATTGACTCATTTGAACTGTCTTGACACAGTTCCATGCTGTCTTGCCATGTTTTCTGTTCATGAGTTTCTGTGACTGCGATGGGCGTTCAAGGTGTTCAGAAAAAATGATTCTTTTGCATATATTCCCGGGGCGCTTGGAAATCTTATCATCAACGCTACCATTGCTCTTGTCTCTAGGGTAGTACTGATAAAGGGTAACAAGAATTTTTTCACTACTGTCAATATGATCCGCGTAGGTAATAGAATATGCATTCAGGTAGTGGCTTCGCCATCACCTGTCTCATCACGTTGAGGGATTCACAATGGAATGCTCCATGATGCAGCCCATTAGCAACATACAAAGTACTATTCCTCCTGCTCATCTTGTCCCCTTAATATTCTCATGATTGATTGACGAACAAAACGTCGGTATTCCCTGGAATTCCCATGGCAGGGAGCCTATTAACAGTCCTTGGCACATGAGTGGCCACCTGAATATTTAGCAGTACTAATTTCAATCAGTTCTGTAACGATGCATTCATAGCCAACTTGCCATGTACCGGAATGGCTAATAAGGCTGAGACTGCGATACTAACACACCGAGGTCAATAGCCTCAGACATTGTACATGCCTTTGATGATATACCAGCATGTTGTACTTCGAGTATAGGGCTCCTGGACTCCCTTGTAGCCCCCGCAGCATATTTCTTTAGCATAATCAACCACCAATTCTGTTGAATGCATAAACATCATTTCAGTCTCAAGGGTGGAACAGTATCCTGGAATAACGACTACCTTGAATGTCCTTTACTCGGAGTCCAGATGGGAAGAGACTTTATTCGGAGTACGGAGTTGTGGACTTGCAAGTCCAAGGCCCCATGAAGCAGAATAAGACAACATTAAAGCACTTAGACAACGGGATACATAGGTAATCCTCTAGATATACTCCATAGAATAGCGAATAAACAATTCTCTTTCCAAAGTTCGGAGTCAGTTCGGAGTGCCTACGCTGCAGACACATGGATATCTGGTAGTACCTTGTGGTATCCAAATATACGTATCTGGTTCTCGACGGTTCGGCTCTCCTTTATGTACTATGAGTAGTCTGCCTAGGCTAGAGAGTGTTATTGGAATGCGGGAAATTGTTCTCCGCGAATGAAGTGGCACACTTTGTGACTCGAAGAATACGAGCCCTGATATTAATAGCAGTGCTCCAGAGGTGATCCAGACTATTGATCAGGAATGGCTACCTCAATCTCTCTGACGCGCCGTAATCCACAGAGTGGGGCTCGCCACCAATCTACGGAATACCCCGTACCATTAACTCCCTCACTTACCTGGGTAATTACGACACATTTATAAGGGGTATTCTATCGAGCGATCAAGCATTGGTAAAACAGTCTCATGCTGGTTCTTTTATGGAATGTCTACCCAGGGGTTACGTTGAGTATGTACTCCGTACGGAGGAAAGTGCACGATTCCGGACCCGCAGGATTTCTAACTGCGTCTGGTTGGACTGGGGTGTTTCAGATAATGGGACGTTTGACTTTGAATGGAGGCTTAGAGGGGCTGCATTTCCAGGGATAGCGAGTCGGGGCCGGATTTGGGTCACTGTTACGCCGTACATTGCCCGCATTACAGATCCAATACGGTCATTCTTGGCGTGTGCTACCCGCCGGTGAGTCCTCGAAGTGTGGGACTCGCGTAATTTATGAAACATTACCGTAGTTATGTTGACGGAGGCAGCTCCGGCCCCCTTGCTGACAGAACTGACCACGCTGGCCTTTTAAAGAGTGACCTTTCCCCGTCACATCCGACCACTTCAATCAACTTCTGAACACTTGTCCTTTGGTTTCCTCTGGTCGTTGTCCACATTACCATATCCCACCACATCGGCAGACCTCCGGCGCCTGGCTCCGGGTTTGACCGTTATGCCAACGTGGCTTTTCCTTTCGTAAACCGGACAAGTGGACGTCATCATCAGGCTCCTATCCCATACAAGGCGTGTTCTCTGCATCATCTTTCCTGAGATACTCGCAGAGAGCTGCAAATACCTGTGATCTTGTCTACCGGATTGACCCATCACGCTTACAAAATGGAAGACAACTTCACTTCAGTTGTAGAGTCCTTGTCTGGTACACCAGCACCGGCTGTCCCACTACTCACAGTCTCGCCTGCGGATACATCGTTGAACGCGCCAGAGACCAAAGTGCAGGAGACAAAAACAGAGGAGAAGAAGCCACCTAAGAAACGGAAGTCATGGGGACAGGAGCTACCCATTCCAAAGACCAACTTGCCTCCAAGGTATGTTCTATCGCGTCTGACGAAATCAGTTGGGTCAGCTGGCTTACACTACATAAAGGAAACGGGCCAAGACAGAAGATGAAAAGGAACAGCGTCGCATCGAGCGCGTTCTCCGAAACCGTGCGGCGGCACAGACGTCTCGCGAGCGCAAGAGACTCGAAATGGAAAAGTTGGAGAACGAGAAAATTCAGATGGAACAGCAAAATCAATTCCTTCTCCAGCGTCTGTCACAGATGGAAGCTGAGAACAATCGCTTGAGCCAACAACTCGCCCAGTTGGCTGCCGAGGTTCGAGGGTCTCGTAGCAGCACTCCGAAGCCCGGTTCTCCTGCCACAGCATCTCCAACTCTCACACCTACCTTATTCAAGCAAGAGGGTGATGAGCTTCCTCTTGAACGAATTCCATTTCCCACTCCCTCAATCACTGATTACTCGCCAACCCTAAAGCCTTCCAGTCTGGCTGAGTCCTCCGACGTGACACAACATCCTGCAGCGGTGTTGTGCGACCTGCAGTGTCAGTTGGCGGACTCGAAGGACCTGGAAGTGCCCTCCCGCTCTTTGACCTCGGCTCTGGCGTGGAACATGACGCTGCAAATGACATTGCAGCTCCTCTTTCTGACGATGACTTCCACCGCCTATTCAACGGTGATTCATCCACTGAGCCAGATTCTTCGGTCGTTGAAGACGGGTTCTCCTTTGACATTCTCGACTCAGGAGATCTATCAGCATTTCCATTTGATTCTATGGTTAATTTCGACTCCGAGCCTGTCGCCCTCGAAGGCATCGAGCCGGCCCACGGTCTTCCGAATGAGACTTCTTACCAGACTTCTAGCTTGCAACCCAGCCTTGGCGCGTCCACTTCGCGATGCGACGGGCAGGGCATTGCAGCTGGCTGTTAGTGAGAATGTCTCTCGGGGAACATGGTCCGCCGGTGATGACGCGGGCAGACTGCACTGGGAGTCGTTGTTGACCTTGGCTTGGGCGATAGATCGTTTTGAGCGAACGAGAGGTCGAAGACGAATTCTCTTCGCGAAATTAGAGCGAGGGGCGCGGCGTGATACTTTGGGCAGCCGCCACAGGAGTCCACGGAGTTCATGGAGTTCAAAGCGATTGAGCGAGACGTTGACGTCTCTGCTGATGGGTAAGGACCGATGAAATTTGGGCTGTAATATAGTGTATCTTTTCAATCGAGAGCAACTGGCAACTGAGATGCTGGTCGTTTCCCTGTTTCTCAAATTGATTCTCTTTTCCAAGTCATCGTGCCGATCACGCTTCGTAGTAAGACATATTTATCATTCTTCTGTAACGGGTACTTGCGTTAGCAATAGTAACCACTTGATGTCTTCGTCAAGTTATTGGGAGGATCTTGTAGATTGTCAACTACGTACTTCGGAGATCGGGATGACGTTGCCGCGCCGCTTTGATAGTCCCGCGTATCAACGCTATCCCCACCTCTCTCCTAATCGAGAACCTGAAGTCACGGCTGCATTGTTGCCTCCCGCCTTTCCGCCTCCAACAAGTCTGTCCATTCAGCTTCAACTTCTGTCACTTTCGCATTCTGGATATTTGTTAGCGATTTCGTATCTCATAATTTTAACAAGTTCATCTGTCATTGCATCCCAGGCAAAATGGTTCGGAAGGATCCTATCTTCGAAGCCCGCACCAATGTCAAGGTGAGCTGAAATTTGCACCTGCGCGGAGCACTCTTATGTGCTGCGCTCTCAACTGTTGGGAAGTAAACAACATATATCTGACGAATTCCTCCATTGCAGTTGCACTCGAACCGGCTTAAAAAGGAAGCTGCTCGCGCGGAAGCAACATTCAAGTCAGAAAAGGCAAAGGCGGACAAGGCTATGAAGAATCGCGAGTTTCAAATTGCCCGTATCCACGCCGCCTCTGCTGTACGAGAGAAACGACGACAAGTAACCCTCAGAGCCGAGGCTGCGCGGGCGGACGTCATAATAAATGAACTCAAAGCCGCTCAGAGTACTCGCGATACATCCCGAACCCTCGCTCTGGCGTCAAGAGGACTGGATGCGGCGTCGAAGAGTGTCAATCTTGAAAACCTGGTGTCTCATGCAAATAACTTCTTAGCGCGATCGGAAGATTTCAAAATCGCTAGTAGTGCGATAGAGGATGTCGCTCAAGGTGTCTCTATGCAAGAGTATGGTGCCGAGGGCGAAGCCGAAGTTGATCGTCTCATGGAACAGCTTGCAGACGAGGCGGGTGTGGACATGCGCTTAGCCTTGGATGCTGATGCAGCTCCCAAGGAAGACGTCAAAGAGCAGAAGCAGGCCGACTCGGAGCTGGAGGACGGCTTGGGAGCGAGACTACGTGCTCTCAGAGCTGCAAGCTGAAACGAAATGCTTGTCTTCCTTTTGTTACCTTCCAGCGCACCGTTAACAGCTGGCTGATTGCTTTACCTGTTACAAGCGACGACCGAAATGTTGCCGTCCGCGTGTAGCATCTGTCAGACTCGATTTGCCCTGTTTCCTTCCGATGGATATTGACGAAGTTATGCCCCCTAGTTTTGATTTTATCCGTCATTCCCGCTCTCTATATAAGTCCTCCTGCATTTGCTGTCACAGCCTCATGTTCCAACTTCTTCTGGGGACCATCTTGTTCGGCGTAGGCTTCGGTGATACTGAATATTGGTTTCGATTTCACGCTATCATTTTTCTTCTGTTGTCGCCAAACCCTAGCTTCACATCTTATCCTGCCTGTACTTTGTTTTTTAATGTCTCCCGGGATACAACCCGGTTGCATAGAACGAACACGACCTAGCTCTCCTTATTGATTAAGGACGTTCAAGGACGTAGGCTGAGCTGAAAGTAACATTAGACACTCAAAGCCCGTGCCTCTTGTTGTACATCTAGCACTCAATACTGTCCAGCTTTAGGATTTTTCTGTGCTTGAGGGCTACAGCGAGTAGCCCAGGGTGCCGATGCGCTAGGGCATTAGATAGATACTGTCTAGGTACTCGCATAAAAATGAAAGTGGCGGTCACTATCTCTATTCAAAAGACTTGTATTGACACGATCCAACCTGCGTCTGCGTCTCTCGAGTAAGTATTTCGATCAAAAGCAAGGGCAAAGTACTCCAATGTCACCAAAATATCAACTAAATTATGGAGTCATGGCTGTCTCCTAGATTCTGCATGAGCCCATTGTTTGGCACATGGTACGGAGTATCTTTCTGGGTATTTTCTGCCTTAGTACGTGGCACCGAGTATATCCGCAAGCCGTGAAGTAAGAGATTATCCGTTTTCTAATTCTCCTTACTTAAACGAGATAAATTGGCCAAGCAGCCACTGAGACTCTGAGTCGCTTAAGAGAGAGACTTTGTCGATATTCTCCCAATGAGAAGCGAGTGAGCCGATGTGTCTAGACCCTTTCTAGGTCCCTTTTCCTAGCGATACAACCTTGCTAAAATTGCTAGGACCTATTTGATCCTTAGCGCAGGGCTTAGAGTACGGTTACTTACCTCCTAGTCTCTCTCACTAATGATATACCTGGTTAGACATCACAACTCACAAGTCCACTTCCTCATTTTCTCAGAACTTTTCCTAGTCTAGTCTTGAGAAACCTCGCTAGTTGGCCACTGGCTGACCTGGCCGAACGAGGCAAAAATGAGCTAACTGTACACCGTGACCAGCCCGGTCTTTTCATCTTGTCCCCTATCTTGAAGTCCGTCCAATTACCACGCCGGGAAGGTAGGCTAGTTTTGACCATGGCCACCCACAGAGGCATAGACCGAGCGGCTTATGCCACAGACAGCTAGGAACTCCGTGAGTCCGTAGACACGGACCCCTTAGTAAAAACGAGAGCCTCAATCCACTGAACCATTGTTTAGGCAGTGCCTATTTGTGGCGCAATGTGTTTTCTCCTAAAAAACATCAGAAGGGTGGATTTTCCTTGATCAGATTTTCTATCCTTCTGTTTGACTCTTTTACTGAGTCCCGTTCCCTCGTTTGACCATCTGGGAGCCCAGTTCGCAAGTACAGCCAAGATGATGGCACCTTCACACTCTTTTCCACTTGCATTCCTGTCCCTCATTCTGCATCAAACTTCTTGCGCCTTCGCTGCCCCATGGATAGTCACCAAAGTGTATGAGCAAGATGTCTACACCGAGGATTACATCTACCGAACCACAACAAGGACTAGCATTGATGAAATCACGCCGACAGCATCACCGATGCCTGCCGCCCTTTCAACAACAACTTATGTAACAAGCGACAGTTATGACGATGCTGTCACAGTTGTTCAAGTTCTGTATCCATCTGGTGCAGGGATCGAGTCGACCTACAAGTACTACAATTACCAAGACTCAAATATCATCACGCAGTACTATGTGAACATGGTACTCACAGCGCCAACATCCTGCTCTTCGCAGTGGACCGTGACCACTGCGGTTCCGGTCTATGTTCCCAACGCTATTGAAGACGCTTTGCTTGCGACGTCCATGTCAACGAGCTACTCCGTGGACGATAGCCAACCCTTTCAACCAACCACATACACCAGGGCTCTTGCATTCATTGATCCTACACAAGTGCCCGCATCGAGTCTGAGCAGGCTCAGTAACTCCTACCAGCACACCATGTACCGAGAGTACGGGTGCTATGACAGCGGCACCGATAGCGGTAGCAGCTACTCGAACTATGATAGTAGTGACGGCGGCAGCTGGCTCTACGACCGCTATTATTACGGGGTTATCTCTCCCCTCGGTATTCTGCTTGTCTGCCTTCTGGGATGGTTCGGACTATGGCTCATTATCGGCCTCATCGAGAATTGGTTTCAGTTTCGACGCTTGATGAGGGGTTGGCAGGCTCGCCGAGGATTCCCAATTTCTTGGTGCATGCTCGCCCCTATTGTCTCCTGTCTGCTCCTTCTGTTCTGCCGCAAAGGCTTTCAGGCTCGTACTTCCGAGGAGGCGCAGGTGCTTCAAGAGAAATGGGAGCAAATGGGATTCTGGAGGAAAGTCGGCCTGTGGCTTCGGTGGGGTTTCGGATTCAGTTATCCACCTATGCTGGGTCCTGCTCCAGTCAAGGTTGGAAGGCCCTCCAAGCGACCTGTTGCTGCCACCGCTCCTCTCCTTGGCGTATCCCCGCCACGGAGTGTCATGTCAGATGTCCATTCCGATTCGGGAAGCAATCGCGGAGACAGTGCTGCCCCTGGTCCAGCAATGGCCTATATTCCGACGCCAGGCCAGACGCTGCAAGTCCCACCTTCAATACCACCAAACAGACAAGCCCGACAACAACCAGCGCCCATTCAGCCCATACCTGAAGTTCCTTCAACGACTAGCGGTGCGCTTCCCGCTGATCCTAACACACATGCAACAGAAACGTCTAGTGAGCCCCGGACTTCATAGTCTGACATGTGTGACATGCTGTATATTTTCTGGACGGGGAGTGAACGACGAATATTCTGCTATATCTGACGACCATGTCTGGCGAGCTAGACACATGACCCCTGGATAAAAGTCACTCTCACCTTCCCTTGCTGACGTCCAAAATATAAAAGTCCCCTGTCAGGCTGCGACGGTCATTAGGACGTTACGTACAACGATATGTAATATAATAATATAAGAGGATACTTGAGAGTGTTGACAATACGTTCTTTCCGAATTAGAAACGGGGGGAGTGGGAAGTACTACATTATTATTGTTATTATTTCACAGGTGACACACAAGAGAAAGGCTCCAAATCGTGTATGTACATCCTGTTGAGCGTCGGTAGATGAGTTCTGGCTGTACCTAGGCACGCTGTTGAACTTAGGTAGATCCCCATGAAAGGAAGCTTTTGCCACATCCAATCACAAGGCCGGCTGGCCTAATGGTAAGGCGCTTGACTTCGGATCAAGAGATTGCAGGTTCGATCCCTGCGTCGGTCACAATTTTTTACATCTCGTCTTGTCGCTGTTTTATTGACTGTACACGGCCGACCACTATCGGCTATGTTAACGCGCTTCAGGAAGTTATTCATGGAATGTATTAATAAATGTGGCAATTGCTGTTAGTCACGAATGGGCACATTCTTCTCCATAAGGCAAAGTATCGCTGGTCGAGATATAGCCCAGCCGGGCTAGCTCAATCGGTAGAGCGTGAGACTCTTAATCTCAAGGTTGCGGGTTCGACCCCCGCGTTCGGCTTTTCTTTTTCATTAGGTCAGGCCTCTTTTTTGCGCTCTTTTTAGCTGTACTGCTTTCAAGAAGGAATAGCACCTTTCTTTTTTTTTTTTTTTCCTTATCGCAAGTATTCATTTTGCACTTCATTGCTGGCCTCCACGGCGTGGTTGACCTGAATGGGGCTTATGTGGACGCCGGAATCCAAGCCACGGTAGACTTTATATTTCCCTACTGGAAATTATGATGGGTGACTACTTTCGACATGAACAACACATCTCACTGCATCCTATATCCTAGGACAGGCGCTGTTTGTGACGGTGGACAAGCAATTGAAACCACCTTGACAGACTGCTCCATCGCTTGGTAAATAAGCCTATGGAATTTGTTGAAATGGTCTGAAACAAAGAATCGTGCCTCAGGAAGTAAGACGATGGACGGCACAGCCGATCCACCACAGTCAAACAGAACGCCGCATGGACGACAGGCTGCATGTTTGAATTGCCGAAGAAGCAAAATACGATGCAAGCGCAGCCGCGAGGGTACCTGCTGTGACAGATGCAAACAAGCAAACCTGGAATGTATCGTACCCAGTCACCATCTTGGTAGACAAAAGGGTGTCAAGAAGTCAGAGTCACTGGGCCTTATCCCTATTTCTATTACAATCATACATGCTTACATCCGCTTGTAGCAAACGCAAAGGACTGGACAAAGCGTTACACCAAATAGAGGAGGCGATTAAGCGCCCCAAGACTGATGCAGCAGGATTTGATGCTGCTCGGAAACTTATCTCAGACCTGCAAGATCTCCTTAGCAGGACACAAGGGCTTTCTGCACGGAGTGAGGTCGAGGAGACATCAGATGACCCTGACCGGTCACGGACGAGATCTCCTCCGCAAGGAGCCACTGCTGGAGACAATCTAGCCTTGGATGACGCGGAGAATCCATTGCAACTTCTCGCCAGAGCCTCCGACCTCCAGTTTTCGCCTGCCGAGTGCCGTGACGCACCCAGATTGTCCACTTCGTCTGTATCACAATCGTCTCTCAGACCGCATAGTAGCCCCAACGAGGACTTGCCGATTGCCAAATCTTTTTTCGTCCCAGTCAAGGCGAAGCTAGACCTCGGCCCGGACATGGACCCTATCGAACTGGGTCTGACTACTCTGCATGAGGCGGAATTACTTTTTTCTTTGTAAGTCAACCTATTAGACCCCAGATGTAATCTTGTCGGTGAACTCACCAATTCGACAATAGCTTCTACGAGAATTTGGCCCACACGAGGTGGGGTCTGGATCCGACTGTGCATACTGTGTCATTCGTACGCTCGCAGTCTGCCTTTCTTTTCACTTCAATGCTGGCTGCAGCTGCCCGGTTTTACCCTTCTACAGCCGCCTTATCCAAAAGACTAACGAGGCACTGTACATCACTGGCTTACAAGGTCATTACTCAGCGTTATCGATCAGTGGAAATTGTTTTGGCCTTCATGGTAAACGTTCCATGGATGGCCCCAGGGAGCAGTTCTGGCGATGATGACACATGCTCCTATATTGCAATGGCTTTGACTGTTGCGTTGGACCTTTCTCTCAACAAGATAGTGACAACCTCAACTGGTTTTGATAGTACTCTCCAGAACAGGCTTGCGAAGGCTGATTGCATTGATGCAAAGAGAGCCTTGCACATGGATGGATTCGAAGCTGTTGATCCGGCTTCGGAATGGGGCCGAAGATTGTTACGTAGGCGCGAAAGGACTTGGATCGCGTTATTTGTCCTCGAGCGTGGGTAGGTGCTGAAGCTCATAGTCGAAGATATGCATACGGCAAGTTTGGCTAATCCGTATATTGCAGTGTCTGTTTGGCCCGCGGACGAAGCTATACAGTTCCCCCAACTGCTCTCATCGAAGATTGTGACAGATGGCATATCTCTGATATTGCCGATTCTCGGGATGGGCCGATGAACTCCATGGCTGTTCTCCGGAGGAATTTAGTAAGACAACCCCTGAGACGTCTTCGCACGCTTGGTTGCTTGCAGACAGCTAACATTATTCCACGGCAGGATGAACTCTTGGAAAAAGTAAAATCGCGTTGCGACAGTTGCCGACTTGGGGACATCGGATCTGAAGCTGCTCAGTCGTACGGTCACTCCTCTCGACTTTTATGGTTCTCCAAGAAGGCTCACTGGCCTCTAGGATTAAGAAACTTATTGAAGACTTCTATGATCAATGGTATGCGGCTTGGGCTCTTGAGATTGGTGGACCCTGTAAGTTTATTTACAAAGCTGGTCCCGATCATCACGAAGCAATTCCTTGCTAATATAACACGGAAAGCCCGCTGCCTTCCACCGTATGTTGAGATATTGGTAACACACACGCAACTGTCTACATATGGTGGCGTGATCAATCATCCCACAGCACCACTCGAAGTCAAGCGGTTTTTCCGCGCTGCTGGCCTCTCTTCTGCATTGAATGTCATGCGGGCAGCCATTCAAGGAGAATCGCGGCTAAAGTCCATGCCCAACAATACAGTGATCATGATCGCCTTCGCCGCATGTTCTGCCCTTAGCCTCAGTGTGACGCCAGCGGACAGCAGGTCCAGCTTGGCACCGAGTGTGCGACATTTGATTGAGGAAACGGCTGATGTCCTCGAACGGATTGGCGCCATCCCAGCCCACAGAGAAGGTGCATCTGTCTTGTATGGACGACTGCTACGAGAGCTTGTCAGACGTGCTCATGTGGGCTCTGTTTCTCAGAAAAATATCGAATCAGCCCCGGTAGAGTCCTTACAGCCCTCCTCTACATTGAGCGATTACTGTTCCATACCTTCAGTGACACAACCACCAATAGATCCCTCGACGCTATGGCCGGAGACACTACAATTCTCCGCGATGTCTGATCACCAAATCATCGATGCAGTGAACAGGGCTGACTCGGCATTCGGCATGAATATTCCTGACGTCCCACTGGATGATCTGATGAACTGGGATTGGTTCGACTATGCCAACGCAGCCGACCTGGGTTTCGACCAATAACACCAACATTGCAATCCACAGTAATACCTTAGGTACCGATTACCCTGTGCGCTGCAATAATGTTGAGCGTGATTTGTGAAGTGGTGGGTCTCGGCTTCCTGTCGGTGCCCAGAAGTAGCTCCGATTGCCGAACGGAACGTCACTTTTCGATTTACATATGAGATGCCGTAGTGCTCTCTCGATGTAGAGAATGTTTATTAGAAGATCTCAATCCAGATTCACCCAATATACATGATTCGCAGCCCTGTTTTTCTATCCTGGGTGGCATACTTCTCTTAATGCTGACGAGGAATGGCGACTTTGCGGGGTTCAGCAATCATATCTCCAACGCGGAGAACATATACTGGTGGTACCCGTCCGTGGTTACACTTAGGGACATGTTATAGAGCATGTGCGCGACCTGTTCTTCCAACAACAAACATTCGCCCTGTACGATATACAACTGCCACTCCGCAGCAACAGACACTTGCACCCAAGATCGAGCGTGGCGCTTCAAAACTATTCAGAGATGCAGATGAGGCTGTCGCTGACCTCAAAAGCGGATCTACAATACTGAGCTCTGGATTTGGCCTTTGCGGTGTCGCAGGTAAATATCTTCCCAACAAGAAGATGGGTTCAACAGACAAATTGACATTACTCAGATACACTTCTATCGGCGATCAATCGTAGAGGAATTGAAAATCTGCATTCCCTGACAGCCGTTTCGAACAACGCTGGCGCTCCTGGAAGAGGAGGACTTTCTACACTTACTCAAGCCGGACAAGTAGATCGGTTGATTCTATCCTATCTGGGGAACAACAAGGCTTTGGAGAAGAAGTATTTGACTGGGAAGATCGCTATTGAGCTATGTCCCCAAGGAACATTAGCCGAGCGATTACGTGCCGGAGGAGCTGGGATTCCGGCATTCTTCACTCCTACGGGAGCGCGTAAGCTTTCCTCAGGCGAAAGTCTTCATTCAATACATTGCATCTGCAGTTTCTGACTCTAGTTTATTTCGCAGACACGTTACTCCAAGCGGGAGAAATACCCGTCCGGCTAGATGAGTCTGGAAAAGTATTGGAGCGTGGCACACCACGAGAGACGAGGATATTCAATGGCAAAACTTACTTGATGGAGACAGCCCTCACTGGTGATGTGGCTATCCTTCGTGCCTGGAAAGCAGATGAGGCAGGAAACTGTGTTTTCAGGTAAATCTGTTATCTGCTCATGCATCAGTCAACTTGCTGAACCATGGAACTTCCTCCAGGTATACAACGAAGGCATTTGGTCCGATCATGGCGAAAGCTGCCACTCTTACTATAGTGGAGGCGGAAAACATCGTTCCGGTCGGTTCCATTGACCCTAACGATGTCGACCTGCCGGGCATCTTTGTGGACCGAGTTGTCCCTGCTACGGCAGAGAAGCACATCGAAATCAAGAAATTACGGACTCCCGAAAATGAGGATGCGAGTAAGACCTCAAGCGACCCTGCCATGGTTCAGAGAAACCGCATTGCCCGGAGAGCAGCGAAAGAACTAAAGCAAGGATATTACGTTAATCTGGGTGTTGGTAAGTACCTTAGTCTTCTCGAGCCTCTCAAGTGCTGAAAATCGTCCAGGAATTCCCACATTGGCTCCGTCATTCTTACCAGAAGGCGTGAGAGTTTGGGTGCAGTCAGAAAATGGTATTCTGGGCATGGTGAGGTAGCCTTCAGACTTGTCCAAACAACATCAACTAATGGTTATGATTAGGGACCGTATCCCACTGAAGACGAAGTTGACCCGTAAGTTCTGTTCATCGGACATAGTGTATGCGTGAATTGACCGGCTTGCAGGGACATCATCAACGCAGGGAAAGAGACAGTCACCCTCATACCAGGCGCAGCTACGTTCGATAGCGCTGAATCGTTTGGCATGATTCGGGGTGGACATGTTGACGTATCAATTCTCGGGGTGAGTGAGGAAGAGTATGCTTGTGAAGGGATATAGTACACGGGCTAATGATAAGCAGGCTCTGCAAGTGAGCGCCAAAGGCGATCTAGCGAACTACATGATTCCCGGAAAGGTCTTCAAGGGAATGGGAGGTGCTATGGACTTGATTTCTAATCCAGACCAAACCAAGATCGTTGTCGCTACCAGCCATACCGCCAAGGACGGATCTCCCAAGGTCGTCGCTGACTGTAGCCTGCCTTTGACAGGCGCAAATTGCGTCAGTACAATCATCACGGAACTCGTAAGTCTACTGACCCGGATGCGACCCCATTCTCTATAGCCTGACTGACCGTGGCTATCTAGTGTGTTTTCCAGGTTGATCGAAGCAAAGGGGAGCTTCTGCTGACGGAGCTCGCCCCAGGGGTAGAAGTTGAGGAAGTCCGAAGCAAGACCGGGGCGAACTTTGCTGTTGCAGGGAAACTGGAGATTATGGAATGAAATCACTCAATTCCGACATTGCAAATCGCACATGATCGATGCTGGCTGCCATGTAAATAACGCTTCGTGTAGACATGTATAGGATCTTATTATGAACCATTTTCTAGCATCATGAAAAGGAAGCGGGTGTAGCCACCATTCCCATCCTCCTGTAAGACTGGACAGGGTGACGTGCTTTGTGCTTGCACAGGATACACAAGGTCAATTCTGAGGAATTGAGCTACACCCTTTGTACATAGTCAATGAGAGGGAAGATGTCTCTATATACATATGTACACCAAGGGGCGTCCAAAGTCTATCCACAACAACATCATTGTCACAAGACTTCTAATTACAGCTTAGAGGTCCTGAGCGGCGCAAAATTTGACCCCGCGCCCTCGCTGATCGATTGGACGATATCATCCACGCTGGCCAATATCCATGTATTACCCTCATCACTTGCCAGCCACCGGGCACCTTGCTCAGTTTCGACATCGTGAGCCCACGATCCATCTTCAATTGCCTTTCGCAGACCAAACACATGCGATGTCACTTGCGGTCCCACACCAGACTGCGCACGCAAGCATGAAATCGCGACAATAGAGGTCACGATGCGACCAGCGTTCGCACCGGTAGTCCGCCCGGCAGGATCGGACAATAGGGCACCGTAATGGCTGTTCAGGATGTGAACGGGCAGATCAGGATGTGAATCGGCCAATTTGTTGACAAGCTTGGTTTCAAAGGGCCGGTAGATGGAGTCCCACAAGGCTCGGCCGCGCCGACCGATCTCATTGATATTCCCGGGGTCCGGGGCTCGAGTTGGAGTACGCGATAGTCTCTTGCTGACGGATTCGGGCAAGCTCGCTTTGAAAGCATTGAGGCAGTTGATCGTCCGCGGGATGCCGTTGAAACTGATGCATTTCAGCCCCACCTCGCGCATCAACTCTGCTGTGGCCACGCTTTCCTCCTCTGTTTGAGCCGACGCAACCAATTGAAACAAGATCGTGAGGGAGTCAGGAGAATTCATGGTCATCGTGGCGGCTGTCTGTTGGTTGAAAATAACAGGATAAGTCAAAGCCATCTCAGGACAATTTGCTGGGGAATTCATACGGAGCGAGTGAGGAAGGGTTAACGAACCGACAAAGCCAGCCATGACGGTGAGGAAACGTTGTTTGCTAGAGCGCTTTGCTGAATCTTTTGGTACACGGAGCGTATATTGCGAGGTGCAGGGACAGTATTTGGCCGCGCACCCGGGGCGTTGATCAGAGCCTTGAGGCTGCTGGATAGTTTCGACATGTCCTCTCAATCTCTTCAATCAGCGCCAAGGGAGTAGCCTATCCGGCACAATTGAAGATGATGAGCGATCTTGGTCGGATGAGCGAGGAATGGCCATGATATGGCATCGGCCATTTCCCCGACCAAAGCTGTTGATGATGGATGCCTCGGCGCCAAAACTGGACTCCGGGCGGTGTCGGTTGAGTCCGGCAATCCCAGTGGAATAATACGTAATTATACACGGTATTTTACCAACCGGTCACGTGATAATTACGGAGCGAATCAGTATTCCCAAGATTAAACGCCAAGCTTTTGAGCCCAAAGCTAAGCAACCAGGATGTTCTTGGACTGGGGAAGAAAGTGCGGGGATACGAAGAGACATGATAAAATTGGGTTGTAGTTTTTGGTATCTGCCCATCGGTTGCAGAAATGGTGGCCGAGATTGGAGAACTCCCCACATCTTTCTGCCAATCTACAATCGGATACTTAACTCGACCCCCTGCTACGTTATACTGTTCCGATGATCTTGACTGCTTCCATTCTCATGTTCTCTCTCCAATTTGTCCGTACTTATAGTCATGGATACAATGAAGCCTAGCCATGAGACATTGGAAGATGTCAAACATGAGTCATTAGACAACATGTCTTTCGATGATGCCTCCCGACGGAAGTTGACTCGAAGTATTCTTTTCAAGCTGGACACGAGGTTGGTCTGCGACTCTGCATCTGACGTCTACGGTAATTAGATAGCTAAAATATGCTCGATAGGATTCTTCCCGTTTTGGCTCTTCTTTTTCTATGTTCATTCCTTGACAGGTAAGGAAACAGAACATCTCTTTAATTAGTACCAGGTTCTCTTGATTGAAGATTGATCAAAAGCTTCTTTCAGGACAAACGTGGGAAACGCAAAGATCCTCGGTCTCCAAGCTGATCTGAACATCACTGGCCATCAGTATGACATAGGCCTTACGGTCTTCTATCTCACATATATCTGCAGGTGAGCGTCAATGGGCTGAAAGCTTCTGAGTATGTTGCTGAGCGTGTGCCGGTAGCGAGCTTCCGAGCAATCTGATAATCAAGAAGGCGTCACCGAAGATCTGGCTACCTACTCTCACAATGGTCTGGGGAATTATCACCATGTGCCTGGGCTTTGTGCGTAATTTTGCTGGCTTCGTTGCTGTTCGTGCCATACTCGGTATAGCAGAGGGAGGACTGTTGCCTGGCATGGTATGTGGAAGCTTATCCCGGACCCTTCTCTCTGATACCGGCTGGCTGTGTTCCAATGAGCGAGACTAAGGCTCCCTCAGGTACTCTACCTGTCTTTCTTCTATAAACGTTCGGACTTGGCCCTTCGCATCGGCCTATTCTACACGGCGGCATCATTATCGGGGCTTTTGGAGGTAAAAGCTTAACCTCCTTCGTGTAATCCTTTCAAGAGTGGTGATTGCTGACGTGAGGCACCCCATTTTTGATAATAGGACTTTTAGCTCGCGGATTGGCAGCGATTGGACCACGAGGTGGTCTTGAAGGATGGCGTTGGATCATGATCATTGAGGGTCTTTTGGTAAGTTCACTTCGAACAGAGCATCCGTGCTATTTCTGATACATTTCAGACTTTCGCATGCGGCGCTCTCAGTTACCTCTGTCTTCCCAACAATATAGAAACGGCAACTTTCCTGACCGCCGAAGAACGACAGTTCGCCTGTGAGAGAATGCGACTGGATAATCCATCTATGCCGGAAGGGTATGTCGACGTTTTTGCCAATTTTTAACCCAGAAGCCGCATGTCCTCCTACTATCGAGTTCCAAAAAATTTCGATCTCCGCTGACATCACCCAACAGAACTATTGAGGCTGAACATGAGGCCTTCAGGTGGTCCGAGGTTGTCCGAGGTGTACTGGACTTGAAAATGTGGCTGTCAGCAACAGCGTACTTTGCTATCTTGTCTGGGTTATACTCTTTTGGTCTTTTTGTCAGTCGACTCTTTACTGCCACCAAACAAATACCTTTGCTCATGACAGAAATCTAGCTACCTACCATCATCAAGGAAAGCGGCTTTGCGGACGATGCGAACAAAGTGCAGCTTTGGACTGTTATTCCGTACGCTGTCGCAGCTATAATCACAGGTGGGCACTTTGACCATCAATCAATGCAGGTTTACTCAGTCGCTGACCGCATGCATTCTTTTGGTCCAGTCGTTGTGGCCGTCATCTCAGACCGGCTGCAGGTCCGTGGTATTATTATGCTATTTATCCTGCCGATTGCGATTGCTGGTTACGGAGCAATTGCCAACATCGAGTCCGCCAAAGTCAAGTATGGGATGACCTTCCTCATGGCCACGGGCATGTACAGCAGCGTCCCATGTATACTGGTTTGGAATTCCAACAACTCCGCTGGGCATTACAAACGGGCCACTACGTCGGCAATGCAGTTGGCAATTGCAAACTGTGGAGGGTTTGTCGCTAGTGAGACTTCGTTCCTTACTTGCTGAAGTTCCTGGACTGACGTGTGCGTTTTCTACCAGCATTCAACTACCCTGACAAGGATAAGCCAGATTACCATCGAGGCCACACAATAGTTCTCGGCCTGCTTATATTCGCATGGGTTATGTAAGTGCAACAGCTTTGTCTATCGATTTATAGCAGTCCAACTGATCTTATATACAGGATCCTATTGAATGTCTTATACTGCGCTAAAATCAATAGAGACAAGGCGCAGGGCAAATATGCACAGTATACAGGATGTAACGATGATAGGGATCCACAATTCAAGATGGTTCTGTGAAGGAAGTCATGCTGCATACTGTATTTAGTGAAGACGAGACTTCCAGTTGCAGCTGATCCTCGGAAGATAATTTCTTCATACAAGAAATATGACAATGTGAAATGAGAATAAGAACTTCGTCAGGACGTTTGTCATCAACACTATGATCCCGGGAGTTTCCTGAGTCTCTCATCTGTACAACCAATAGAAACATGAATTCCGGTAGGATGATCTAAATACCACATAAAACTGCCCCGTTACGAGCTGTAACTCGCAAATAACAGCCAGAGTTAGGCCTCATGTTCGCAACCGAACATTTAAGCGCTCTCTCCGGGCTGATTCGAAGCCATCCTTTGCGCACGCTCTCTCCCCGCAAAGCTTATTAGCATACCAATATCATAGATTGCTTTCAGCACACCAGCTAGCGTGAAAGAAGCACCGAAAAGATTATGATTTGCCAAAACACCGGTGATGAGCGGGCCTAAGCTCTGACTGCAAGTCTTGACGACGTTGATGGCGCCCATGATTGCAGTGCGCTTTTCGGGCGGAAGAGCAGCGGCCAAGAAGGCACTGCGTGGTGCAACATCCATGCTCTGTGAGCAGGCACGGAGGATCAAGAAGGTCAAGGCTGCCGGCAGAGCAGAGGGAACTGGGATGAGTGCCAGACAGATGGCGGACGGCAGATGGGTGAAGACCATGGTCTGTGATATAGTCAGGAACCTGAGTGGCAATGGAAGAATGCAATTCGTAGGCGAAGAGCGAACCTTGACATTGCCGATGCGTTTGGCTATGGAGGATGCAACCAGCATGGATGCGGCGGAGATTAGGCTGGTGGTAAAGAAGATCGAGCCGAGCTCTCCCTCGGGCAGAGAGAACTTGCGCTTGAAGAAGTATGTCATCCAGGATCTGTGAAAGCAACGGTCAGTTCGATGCGTGCTGTCATCTTAGGGTGCCTCTAATACGCACAATGAGGCCAAACCTGAGGCGAACGAGTCCAGACCAAACAAGACGAAGAGTGTGACGACTAAAGAGACGAGATCGCTACTGCCGAGGAAAGAGAAGAGTGATTTCTTCTGGTTGTCCTCGTTACTGGCTCTTTCGCCCAGGAGAGGCTGGGTTTCTGGACCATCAGCTGCTCGTTGTTGCTGTTCAGAGGCAGTAGCACCATTCTTGTCCTTCTTGGCGACTTCAACCTCGTGACTTAGGCAGATGGAAAGAAGAAACTTGACGGCACCGATCCCAGAATATGCGAAAAAGACAATCTGGCATGCATGGAGATATTGCCACCCTTTGGTAGTTTGCAGGAGGTTGATGATCCACCCGCACACCATCATCCCAAGGGCAGTGCCTGCCGTGCCGATCAGAGAGTACCAGACGAAGATATCGCTCAGATGCTCTTTGGCAGTAAGATGAGCCAGAGTAGATTCCTCAACAGCTCGAAAAGGACCAATCTCATTACCACTGCCAATGTCAATCGTGAACAAGACGGACAGACATCGTCTCAGAGCCGGGTCAAAACTCACCTAGGACTGATGACACCGAGCACTGCAGCGGCTAAGAGAATCCAGTAATTGTCAAATAGACCAAAGACGATACCGCTGCAGGCCATGAGCGCAGACCCCAAAGCCAGGACTGCTCTGCGGCCCATTGCATCTGCGAAGAGAGTAAGGAAAAAGCTGATCGCGACATCGCCGACCAGAGTTAAGGTCATAAATAAGCCAATGCGGTCATCTGCGATACCCAAGGCAGACAGATATGAAGCTAATATCAGAGTTGAACCTCCATAGGCGAAGAGTCGGATGAAGCGCTGTGCACAGAGCAGCTTGACGTCCAGTGAGGAACGCCATAGTGTCAGAAGGCCCAGTTCGCCGAGGATTCTTGTGTGCAGACCATTAAATCTGCCCGGGACAGAGTCTGTGGATGCCATGTCAGCGGATCGGTCATTCAACTGGTCAGAGTTGGTAAAAGTGAATACTTTTATTTCTCCCCGTCGCCAAGATGATCGTTTTCCTCATTCCCGACCAAAGCAAAAAAAAAAGAGGCAACCATCGCCGATCACCCGCTTCCTTTTCCGGTTAAACCGGCCGAAATGGCTTGATCCATCTGGGAAATCAAACGACAACAACCATTCCAATAGGATATCCTATATCTCACACTTTGCATATATGGGCGTGTAGGTCCGACTGTGTAGTTCTGTCCATCTTACTCATGTGTACCAAGCATCCGGAAAGTCTCACCAATGGAAGGACTCTACGTCACCGAGGAATGACAGTCCGATAGGACAATGACCATGGAACCATAACAAGACAAAAGATATAAATTGGCGCAGCCATGAGGACTGATCACAATGTCTCGAACTCAAGTGAATACTGTAGCCATACTGTGGGACACCAACCATGAGAGACCGTCTGATGATAACAGCCATAGCCTCCCTGGCTTTCACCTCAGCCCAAGCATGCGACATCGTCCCGCGGTCACGCATACCTTCTATGGATTCCCTGACAATGATCCCCCAGGCCCTGCAATCGCGTACGATTGTGGTCGTGGCCTCACAGCCGGCGGGATCGGCACGTTCGACGATCCTCTGACCTTCGCCTCGGCCCCTGGCGAGTTCACGCAGTGCGAAGTCATCTTTTCCCCGTATCTACACAAGTACATCCGGTTCGAGGATCTTTGCTCTCAATGCGCAGATGAGTGGACCAGCTCTGGAATACATCACATAGATATCTGGACGGGCGGTAACACCACCGACGGAGGCCAGGATCAGATCGACTGCGAAATGAGGCTGACCCCGGCGGGTGACTTGTCCATCGTGCGTGATCCCAGCGTGGACTTGGCTGTCGATGGTATGTTGCCACTGCACTTACATTCGCCATCTTTAGCTGTGGTTGGTAACAATGACGACTTTTAGCCACTCCGCTCTTTGTCCCTGGCGGCAACCCATCTTGCAATGTTGACCACGTTTTCCCTGATGAGAGTGCTGCAACCTTGTGTTAGATGGTATTCATGAACTCTCAGATGATTCTTGACTGAACCGGTGTGGTAAGGTCTGGTGTAGACAGGTCATAATATGACTGTAAAATGTCATGTTGGTGTTATGTTTCTAGAACCTCAAAAAATCATCGTTTTACAGATGCCGCTGAAACAGATCCCACGCATTGTTTCTCCTTAGTCGCACGGAAGTCGATTCCTGTATACATAGCTCCAAGTGCAAATGGTATTTTGATAAAACAAAACGCTAGTCTATAATACAGAAGCTTGTCATCAAGGAATAAATCCTGACAAAGGCAGTAGTAAATGTCCAAATATTATATAGAAACGTCGTCATCACAGTGAAGGCGATGGAGCCGCTTTGTCTGACCTTGGCGGCCATTTGACACGCCTTTCAGCGCGAACATATAGGTTGGTCGGTCGAATCAGTTGGAACATGGGATCGTACTCGATATGCCCGTCATTCTCCCTGGCAAACTTGTATCGGTACACCAGCTTGGGCAGGAAGACTTTAACTTCTTGCAAAGCAAAGTTGAACCCGATACACATGCGAGGACCAGTGGCGAAGGGAATATAGGCCGTCTTGTGTCTGTTCTTGACTTCCTCTGTGTCCCAGCGATCAGGATCGAACCGCGCAGGATTGCTCCACACGTCTGGGTTGTTGTGAAGGTGGTGCAGAGCGCCAATGACGACCGAGTCCTGCGGAAGCTTGTAGCCACCAGGAAGAATCATATCTACCTTGGCGGTTCGCCCAGGCTGATATGAAGGATTATGCCGACGCTGGGTCTCCTTGATAAACTTGTCCATGAAGGTCAGACGATCGGTCAAGTCCGCAGTAAGTTGCGTGTCGGCATCGATGCCGTTGTCAATAAGCTCTTGCAGCAACCTCTCCTGCACCCCAGGGTAGGTGACAAGGCCGTAGATGAGCCATGATAGTAATGAACTGGTGGTTGTAAAGCCGGCTCCTGTTGCTACCACCAATGCCTGCATTAGACTGGTCTTGGGCAGCTTTTCGCCCTTGTTGTCGGTGGCACGGAGAGCGTAGTCTAGAGAGAAATCAGCCAATGTATTCATCCAAGCTGTAAAGAAGCTATCACGTACCAACCATGTTGGATGCTTTCAACGCCGCATCCTGTAGAGGGAGATCTTCAATGCCTCCGCGAGCAGCGTTTTGAATAGACTCATTGACCATATCGATGATACGCCCTCTGGCATTTCTCAACCGTTGCGGGTCACCGAATGGTAACTTGGCGTACCAATCACCCCACGCAGTCACTTTCTTATTCAGCTCCAATGACTCCGCTATGCGATAGACAAGTTCATGTGGTGGTGCATCGATGGACGAGAAGTGTTTGAAGTCAATTCCAAGGACCAGCTTGCCAACCGCCTGCGACCCAAGCTTGAGCATGTACTGATAGACATTCCATGCTTCCTCTTTTTCGTCTAGGGCATCAAAGACATTGAACGCGTCTTCAACCGTTTCCTGCATCATGGGGGCATAATGACGCACGGCCTTAGGGCCAAGTGCTGGTGGCAGGAACTTATGTGCAGTTCTCCACTCTGGGGTATCAGTATCGCCCAAAAAGACACCAGCTTCCTGATTCTTGATGGGATGCAGAGGGTGCGCTGCATTGATCTTCTTCGTGAAGAAGTCTGTTTCGGCGAAAATAATTGACGAGAGCTGTGGATCATTGGTATGGTATACGGTGCGACCCATGTTGGTTGTCTTAAAGATCGGCCCATACTGTTCAAAAAGGCGCTGATGATTGCCCAGATGGTCGGGATAGACTTCAAAGAAGTTCCCAATGAATGGAAGGCCCTTGGGGCCCGGTATCTCGCGCACCGCCTTCCCATCGATTGTGATGCTGATGATATCTTCACTAGCGGCGATTTCGGGCACGTCATGTAGGATGGAATCCCGCGATAGGAATCCAATACCTGCGAGGGTCAGCTTATCTATATTGTGCTCTTGTGCGTCTCGGACGGTCTTTACCATTGGGCTCAACAATCGCGAAGTGCGCCGCAATCAGATGTCTTAGGTCTTCATATGTCGTCGTTGACTCAAACTGGATCTCTTTTGCTGTCGAGCCGGGTTCACCCAGAAGGTGAAAGAGCTTTGTTGTCGTCGACATCCTGTCGCAAACTGGTATGCAGACTCCGCAGCAAAATGATTTGAAAGGGACGGGATATTGTCGGACACGAACCGAGAACCGGGACGGACGGCCATTCTCAATCATTTATAGGGGGTATATGAGTCTGCAAATCTATGCAAAATGCCTCGAGATAAGATGAGACTCGGATAAAAGCCGACCTACAGCAAGAGGAACCAGAGCATCACTGCATAGTGTATCCACCTCATGTATAAGCGCCGTGTACTAAGGATTCAACGGAATCGGCGAGACCGTCTCGGCCAGACCGATGCGATGAATTCGTGAGCGACGATATTCCAGAAGAGGTTACTATTTCATGGAGTGCCTCGGCTGTTTGAAGCTTTGTGTTGGATTCTAAGATTAAATCCAACTCTAATTGAGCGATCGACAGTGAAGTCCCACCACTAACCAGAGATTTCTGCTTATGCAGACGGGACATGTACAAGTACTTACAACAGCACTCCGTACAATGGTGATAGACGTTAACGGGCAATTGGAATAATCATCACGAATCAATCTGCTTCACTTCGACTGATTTAAGAGGCGCCAGCATGCCGATGTTGTCCGTTTGCTATGTGGCAGACTGCAAGCGATGAACAGCCCGTTCATTCAGTGAGAAGCTATACCGTGTATAATTCGGTAGCCCGCCCGAGGAGGGCCAACAAGGATTTCTTTTCTAGCATGGATCAAGGCGTGCCGAGCCAGAACCAGTCCAGCATTACTCTCAGAAAAAGAAAAAAACCATCCAATGTTCGGGCCGATCTCAGACAAAAACAAAAGGCAAGACTAAGAGTGTTGTTGGTGCCGAGGTAAAAATGCCGATTCGAGAAAATTCGTGCCGTGCGCTAGAATGGCAGGGGAAGTTGCGCCGGTGAAGGCAAAGGAGAGTGGATACTAGAGATCGCTATTAGGTTCTCATTTCCGACTGAATAATGAATAATCTACAGAAAGATCGTTAGTACGGAGTACTCGGTGTACACGAGAATAGAGTATGGATACAGAGTGGTGGTTGAGCAAGAATAATCAATTTTATCCGTCTTTTCACTGGCCGATGCTTTCCCTTAATGGATGCTAACGTCGACATAGTTTATAAAATCCGCGAACTGCCTGCCACCCCGAATTGACGCTACTTACTTACGTTCACTTGAAGCTTTCCCCTTTGATTCTTGATACCGTTAGCAATGGCCGTTTCAGCGATGGCAGATGTCAGCGGCGCTCAGAAAAGCCCTGTTGTAGATTTACCGGAGTACACATTGAAGGAAGTTGCACTGCATAACCGCAAAGACGACAATTGGATTGTGATCCACGGACAAGGTAAGTCGCATGACCCCCAGGAGAGTGCAAACTTTGAAGCCTTCAGTTGCTAAGACTTGACAGTGTACGATGTGACAAAATACCAGAAAGATCATCCCGGCGGCGCAGATGTTCTGGTTGAAGTTGCCGGCTCAGATGCGACGGAAGCATTTGAAGACATCGGTCATTCAGAAGATTCGCGCGAGATTCTGCAAGATTTCCTGATTGGAACCCTTCAGGACAGGAAAGAATATGTTCCTCCGAAGAAAGTTCGCGTCATCGCTCAGAGTTCCGTCGAGACTCCTTCTTCATCACCGGCCCGATACGTAGGAGCGGTCACCAGTCTGCTAGGAGCAGTCGCCTCCTTGATCTATGTCTACCGTCGCGGTTCTTTGCACGCACTTGAGACCACAGGGTCACTTCACAGATATCTCTCTCCACATTTAAACGGGCTAAGGCTGCCCCGGGGAGGCTTCGCCAATGGATTTATCGCAGCTACTCTGATTTGTGCGGCAGCAGGTGGTGTTATCGCACGTAAAGCCGCCAAACTCACCAAGATCGAGTCGGGATTCCTGCACTATCCGCCGCATATCAAGGCACGCAAGGCGCCCAAGGTTGACCCGCACTTGCTTAAAGGGTTCCTTGACCCGAAGGAGTTTCAGCGCCTGCCTCTGATCCAGAAGGATCAATTATCTTCAAACGTATACCGCTTCGTGTTTGGGTTACCTGATAGCAACGGGGTGATTGGTCTTCCCATCGGGCAGCACGTCGCCATTCGCGCTGTCATCGATGGTGCTACCGTGAGTCGGTCGTATACACCCGTTTCGAACAACCTAGACCGAGGAAGACTGGAATTAGTCGTGAAATGCTATCCGGACGGCATGCTCAGTGGAAAGTACCTAGCGAACCTGCAAGTGGGTGATGAGGTCGAGTTCAGAGGCCCCAAAGGAGCGATGCGCTACAAACCAGGGTTCTGCAAAAAGCTGGGAATGGTAGCCGGAGGAACAGGAATCACACCTATGTACCAGCTGATCCGTGCTATCTGCGAGGACGAGCGTGATACGACAGAGATCAGCCTTATCTACGCCAATAGAACCGAGGCAGACATCTTGCTGCGGGATGAACTCGAGGAGTTTGCCCGCAAATATCCCAAGAATTTCAAGCTGTGGTACATGCTTGACACTGCGCCGGAGAATTGGGCGTATGGAAGCGGGTTCGTCAACCAGGAGGTCCTCAGTGAGAGGCTATTCGCGCCTTCGCCTGACAGCAAGGTTCTCCTCTGCGGGCCTCCGGGCATGGTGAGCGCTACCAAGAAGACGCTGGCTGCGATGGGATTCCAGAAGCCAGGACCAGTTTCCAAGATGACCGACCAGATCTTTTGCTTCTAATCTGGTATCTTCATTGGCAAGGGGAGGCATGCGTATTGTATCATACAGTGGAATGTACTGCAATTGTTCATCTCGTGATGCGCCGAGTAGTCTAGTCGTTTTTCCTTCCAGTTCAACAATAGATTAATACAGTGTCTCTGGTAGACTCATCAGCCTTGCTTTGTGCATGCTGAAATGAACTGATTACTGCATTGTGCCAGACTCTGCCCCGACGTGCGTCGACTAGAGGTGCGGTTCACATTGTTCATACCTCATCTCGGTTGGAGCTGGTGCAGGCATGGCTATGCTCGAGGAAGGCCGGTGAAAGAACATAACGATTACCGAAAGTACAAGATTCTCTTCGCAAGGACATAATTGATGGGTATCATGGGCTACTGCTAGCTGTATGTGTCTATTCAAAGCAAAAATGCAAAACCAGCAAGTACGAGCAAAACGAAAACAGCACGATTGACAGCCGTCTCAACAGGCAAGTTTCGGTCACCCCAGCTGCCTTTGACCAGAGTTCCACCCGCAGCACCGGGGCTATACCTGGAGGTGCGGCGGTCAGGCAGTACCGGTCTCGCAGTTGCATTGAAGGGAACCGGCTTGGGTGGGAGATCGTACTGATTGGCAGGAAGAACCCTCACCTCGCCGGTTAGGTCAACGTAGATGTAGGCTGCCTGAAAGAAAGGACGACCGAGAACAATCTCCTCAGTATTCTGCTCGAAACTGCACCGGCTGCTGCTGTCGGTCAGATTCCCCGGGATCCCAATCAAAATCGAACTAGAGACACTCCCGACACGGTTCGGAAACATGTTGATTTCCAGTGTGATGTTGCGGCCGCACCAGTCCCGGGGGAGGATCAGCGAGTCGCTGGTCAGATCCAACCGAGCAGGATAGACGATGCTGGGTTCGGACTCGTCCGAGACCGAGAAGGGACCGGACCGTTTCACCTTGGCATTGATGCTCGTGCTGGTGCCGCTTGGACTGGGATTATATTTCCAGACGCGTAAGATGACGGCGGAGACGGACTGCTTGCCGGTCTGCAGAAAGGTACCGTTGTTGTTCATGGTCTCTGCGACGGAGATCCAGGATGTCGCATCGTCGGTGAGACGATTGGCGTCGTAGAGCCCGCCTAGTGCGAGCGAACCGTTCCATTCGCCTTTATGGCCTAGGTTTAAGCCAAAAGGGACTGTTTTCACGGGAGTATTCTCATCGATACCACTGGTGGTGACTGTCAGGTGAGAGTCGTTCCCCAGGTTGAGTATGTGACGGTCATGCTGGGATACGGTGAGATTGACCTGGTTGCCGTTGAGGTCTCCTGTGAACTGGGCGTTCACCAAGGTATACTGTGTTCGGTTCAGCAGCTGGGTACCATTCTCCCCCCAGTCACTGTCAATGTCGCTATCACCTTGCCCAACAGATATGGTATACGCAGTCACCGTGCCATTCCCACTCGTACCATTGGCACCCCAAGGTGTGGTAACATCTTCCGACAGTCCGACCAACGGGATCACCCAGCGATCAGGGCTTGTGATCGGAACCGGCGTAGAGGTGGATGAGGGATAATAGATTTTAGTGGCTGCAACGATCACCGTCGTGGTTGCTGTTGGTTCATCATGCGCTGAACTGCGAGCCGGACTTGCGAGGATTTGTAGAAGAGAGAGCAAAGCAGATTTGGTGGTGAAAAGATGCCGGCTCTTCCAAGAATTTCGCGTCATATTTGTCATTTGATCGAGTCCCAATCTTTTAGACTTCGTCAGCACCACTAACAGTAAGGTAAACGTGAGAATAAACAGCAAGAAATAGGGTCACAAACCAAAACGTCTCGATACGCCCATTGTTATAATCGAAAACAGTGAGGACTAACACAACCTCAAGGCAGAACCAAGGCAGCACTGTTCAGTTATAATGAGCCTAAAACCAACATTGCTCCATGACCGGAATCCCCTATTATGGATCTCGCGACAAACAATCTGCATTGTTGGCCTCCACTTTGTTGATGATCAGCGTTGTGGTGGATAGACGGCCCCGGTTCTAGTTTATTGGCATGGATGAGTTTGTCAGCTATTTGTCAATGAATTTTGCTCTAAAAATAATAGCCTCGTAAACATGAACCTCCTCTTATCTTCAATCTTGAAGCAGTTCTCTGGACATGACTATATGCATGTACACAGCCTGAGCGAGAGAGTGGCTTAGATGGGGCCATAAACAGAGCACATCAATAAAGGCTAATGTTTTACCGTAGTGGGGATTTCGATAACAGACTATGAGATGATCATCTAAGTGCTCTATCCTCGGCCAAAAAGAGATTGTTTTCTTGTGACCGATTTTGGGATTTTGTAGTCTGCGATGTGGTCTAAGATATAGATGGAGATCCACTAACCCTGTCATACCAGGATGCCCGTATATACTTTATGAATATGAAGATGTTCTTATCTCCATTTGCCCATTCATGACCTGCACTCGCCTTTGTCTGTTTTGATTTTATGAAGGGCGGTACAGCTGAAGGAGAACTTAAAGCTCATCAGCACCTTGAAGCAACAGCCTCTATACGATGGTTATGTGTTCTCTATGCCTGTTATTTGGATGCACCAAATTCGGACTGGTCCTGTTAGATGCCAAGAGTAACATTGGAGGACCTTCACAACATCTGGCTGTGATGACTAGGTAAGAGTGTGCATAGACTTGCCTTCTAAGCACAACTCTATTCTCATATTGGTCTATTCCGAGGCAGAGTGATAGAGATTAGTGAGGATGAAGGCCATATGGGCCATGCAGGGCTGAATGATTTTAATTGCATAATCCCGAGGCCCAGAGTAGGCGCCCTAAAGTGCAACTAATCCCCAGGCAATTGAAACATGACCAATCTCTCAAACAAGTGTAACAGTAGGATTATAATGTTGTATAGACTTAAAGTACCCCGTAGTCGGCACTTGCTTCAGACCCTGGTCGAAAGGAAATTAGACCGGGGGCGCCAAGTACCTCCCCCCTCACAAATATCTCAATGTGATTGAACAGTCACGGGAGACTAGGAATCTCATGGGATTAGCTTGTCGCTTCGCGTTATCAATGATTAATCGCTCTGCAGAACTTGAAATTGCCGAGTCATGCTGTCCCTTGACGGGACTCGTCTCAGGTCATGTGGGGATAGTCACAGCTAAATGCGAGATCTATGCCAGGAACAGATAGCACATTCCACTCTCGTCTTAGGCCGCTGTTCATGTAAATTGATTAAAGCCACCGAATCCAATCGGGCGCGCGTGATGATCTCTTCAGGTTCGTCTTCATCCTCGAGCGAGCATCAAACAGGGCCACTCAACCCGCCCATCTTAGGCTGTCACTGTAACCCATGCTGCTGGAGGGTCTCAGCTCATAGTGAAATGTTGATTGCGCTACGCGAACTGAGGACGTGACCCAGTAAATTTCGATCGTCCTCCGGGTGAGAGGATGAAACAGGTATAGCATACTGAAACTGCCTCAATGGAGAATCAAAGGCCTATGTAACCCAGCCATGGTCAAGTGGAGCTTTTCAGTTACAACTTCCATGCAATGCGCCTGGATTCTTCTGCCACTGAACGCCGCAGGCCTTGCTTTGTCGAGTAGTCTCAATGCGACTGAGATGCAACAGTTGAGATGTAACCTGGAGGAAGTCTCCCTTTTCAACATTCGCGAAAAGTTACCCTCAGGAACTTGGCGAGGACGAAGGTATAAGAACAGGGGAATTGACGGCAACGTTATGCATCAATCCAGCAAGTCTCTCAAAGCATCCAATCGAAGACAAAAGGGAAATATCACCTGGCAGCAACGATGATGCTCAGCAAAGTTGTGATGGGCCTGCTCACTGTCAGCCTGGCAGCAGCTCATATGGAAATGAGTTGGCCTTATCCTCTTCGCAGTCGCTTCGACCCACAGGTGCCTGAGGAGGATATCGATTATTCGATGACCAGTCCTCTGGACAGCGATGGTGCTTCACCCCTTAACCATTATCAGGATGGATCTTCTGTGCATGTCTAACAGGTGACAGGCTCTAACTTCCCCTGCAAAGGATACCAGACCAATACTCCCTGGCGCGCAACCGCACAGTATACCGCCGGTCAGACATATAACATGACCATAACGGGCTCCGCAACCCATGGAGGTGGCTCTTGCCAGCTCTCTCTGAGCTACGACAATGGCAAGACATTCAAAGTCATCCAGTCCATGGAAGGTGGATGTCCACTTGTGTCCAGGTATAACTTCAAGATACCTAGGGATGTCGCTAACGGCCAAGCCCTCTTTGCGTGGACTTGGTACAATTTGATCGGCAACCGGGAGTTGTACATGAATTGCGCAGACGTGGTTATCAGTGGAGGTACTGGCAGTCCATCATCTTTTGAGAGTGCTTATCCGGATCTGTTCGTCGCGAATGTTGGTAATGGCTGTTCCACGGTTGAAGGAAAGGAGACGGTCTTTGCCAACCCTGGTGATCAAGTCATTTACGGTGGTAAAGTCACTCCGTCAAGCCCTGCATTTCCTATTTGCCATTGAGAGAATGAAATTATCGTCGGTTAGGGTTGAGACCAAAGGAGCATGTCATTGTACATAGTTGGATTTGCCGAATGAGAGAAATATGTACTCATCTGCATACACTTTGACCAGCTGCATAACCATTTTCCTGTTCTGGATGTGATTTAAGTCATATCACTAGGCTGCTGGCACCACCCGTGGGGTCGGAAATATCACTTCTGTTATTGTCGCCACTGACCACCCTGACGAAATCAGATTTGATGACGGCACAGTACTCCGATCAAAAGCTCAAAGCTCTTTTCTCAGCAGAAGATTTTAACACCAAGCGGAGATCTGATTCGGCAATCCAGAAATCGGCCATCGGCAAGAATAATTTCCAATGACGTCAAATTCTGCCACAATGGCTTTCATACTCTCCTGGACTTTTCCTGTTTCGGCTTAACAATGCGGTGAAAGATTACTCCGACAACCAAATCTAACCTGATCAGGAATGATGCGAAGAGCACGTGCGCGGGTCTCGATAAGCGAGTTCAAACATTGGCCAATCATGGATGGAAAAGAAACTCCGCTCCACCAATTCGCGGAGTATGAGAATTTGACTCTTTGACCCTTCAGAGGTCGAGGAGCATGATCCAGACCCAGTCTATTGAATTTCCACTCTTTTAGTATCTGCAAGCCAACCGCAGAAATGTTTATGAGAGAGCCGGCGACGTCATTTCCTTTTGCGCGATGGATATCCTGTTATCCCGTTCTAGCAACTCAACATCGCCACTTCGAAAACATATTTGACCGAAATGGTGTCCCCAGATATCTGTGACCAATTCGTCGTGACTTCAATCCACCAATCCCGAGACTCTATTCCCAGTTGCTTGTCAGACTAAAACAAGAAACATGCCTAACACAACAAGAAAGATTGTCTGTTTCTCAGGTACGCAAGCCCCAGCAGTTCAGCACAAGCTTTGGTCCCTGTCGATCTTATACCTGTGTTTTTCTATTGTGACAACGATAGGATCGCTGATTGGCTGCTAATTCTGTGCTATTCCCAGACTTTGATGGCACCATATTTATGCAAGACACTGGCCATATTCTCTTCGACAATCTGGGATGCGGCACGAAGCGCCGCCAAATGCTGGATGAGCAGATCAAAACCGGCGAGCGGTCATTCCGTGATGTGTCCGAGGAAATGTGGGGATCTCTGCGAATCCCCTTTGAAGACGGGTTTGAGGTTATGGAACAGGAACTCGAAATCGACCCTGGATTCCAGGAATTTCACAAGTTCTGCATTGCCAACGGCATCGATTTCAACGTGATCAGTGCAGGGCTGAAGCCCATCTTGCGCAGAGTGCTGGACACGTTTTTGGGGGAGCAGGCTGTAAGTCATAGCCGCCCCTCCTCTGATTGAATGATTTCGCTGATCGATCGGTGGAAGTCGTCAATCCAGATTGTTGCAAACGACGCCGATATCAAATCGGACGGTTCGGAATGGAAACCGATCTGGAGACATGACACCGAGATGGGTCATGACAAGGCCCTTTCGGTCCAGGAAGGTCGCGCCGAGGCCGCCAAGTACTGCATTGATGGCCAAATTCCCCTGATCGTTTTCATCGGTGACGGTGTGTCCGATCTTCCTGCTGCCCGTGAGGCCGATGTCCTCTTCGCGCGCAAGGGCCTTCGCCTCGAGGAGTATTGCAAGGAAAACAACATTTCGTACATTCCTTTTGAGACATTCACCGACATCAAGCGGGAGATGGGGTCGATCATGGAAGAAGACCAGGAAAAGACCAACGGCCAGGGAACCCCAGCTCGGTTCAACCCACGTGCCAACATGTGGAGAAGGGTTTCCAGCCAGCAATCCGTACGCCCAAAGCCTTTCCACACTTTGTACCGTCTGCTAACTGTCTGGGCCAGGTTCCTCAGTTCATCGCCGCCACTCCTTCGAAGGAAGAGAAGATGTTCCTCTGGCCGGAAAATTTCACAGAGTACCGCCCCAGCGGAATTCCGGAGGACGTTTACGCTTAAGGATATTATGGGAACTCAACGGAGGAGAGAGGCATTGCATGATGCGGGCGTCATGGTAACAATTCAAGAGAAAAAGATCAGAAACATAGATTGGATATCTCATGATGATTTGTATCTAGATTTGAATGTTTATATATCGATAAGCTTTTGTACATACCCAGAGAAAAACAACCTAAATGCAATTTCATCGCAAAGCTGCTTGTTCAAATATTTCCCGTCTACAAGCAATTGTCAAGGTCCGCCGGCCTGCGCAAGGCCGTCTGTATCTTGTGTCTGGATTGAACGCAGCAAAGACTCTATTTTGTTGGCAGTCTCAGAAAGTCAAACGTCAATGACTTGAACTATGAAACTTCTCGACAAGGTTCGGTGCACGGCCGGGTACACCAGCTCGAAAGCCATGGAAATGATACAGTCGTAGGTTTCGGGACGTAACCAGCCGATCGGGTTTCACTGGTTTCGAGTATTTGGCCACGATGGAGCCTAACTAGGAACATGGTTAGAATCCGGACCTGGGCTGGTTCAACCATATAAGCTTCATTCGGCCATTGGTACAGAAAGTTTATTGCTCACTGCGTTTACACTAATCATCTGGCTTGAAGCAACACTCACTGCGCAACGATACCGGTTCTGGCTGAATGAGCACAAACAGCGAGACTTTATAGATTCAAACTGATGATTCACAAATTCACCGGCGTAAATTTCAACATCAGCTTCCGTCCCTTGGGTAATGAAATAAAAGCATAATCCTGCTCAATGCCTTCATCATCGACGGTAGAAGTGGTATAGTTGGTGTAAACTGCAGCCATGACAAGTTTGATCTCTTCAACCGCCAGCAGATTCAGTCAGCTTGCATTCACAAGCATGCTGCGAGGAAAGGGAAGAGAAGAGGGCGAAATGGCGCCTTACCTTGCAAAGCAAAATTACTACCCAGACACATCCTCCCGCCACTGCCAAACGGCCAAAAGAGTCTTCGCATATCGTGAATTTTTCCCGGTCCTGGTTGTAGCCAGCGCTCTGGCAGCCACTCGAAAGGCTGAGGGTAGACCTCGCTGATTCGGTGCAGGGTATATGCGGACGAACTAACTTTGACTCCACCGGGGATGCGACCGTATCCTTCAATTGCTATACCTTCTGGTGTCAAGGGTGTGACTCTTGGTAACGGAGCAGGCGCAGGCGAGTGCACTCGGAGTGTTTCTCGGACAATGGCATCCAGCAAAGGGAGAGAGTCTATAGCGGCTGGAGATGGCAGAATTGGGAGGCCCTCGTTACTCAACTCCAAAAATGGATAATTTAAGGATGGCGTTAATGTGAGCAGTTCTTGACGAAGTTCAGCTTGCAGCCGAGGTCGCTTTGAGAGCTCCCACACCATATACACAAAAGTGATTCCCGAGGTCTCGTGCCCAGCCACAAGATGATCGAGAAGTTCTGAGGCAAGCGCCAACTCCAGAGGTCGTTGATCTGGATGCTTCTCCAGACTCTGGCGGAGCTGACTATACACGACCGGGTTTGTGGCCACCGGCACATCGTTAGAATGCTCGTTGCCTTGCATTCTCCGGCAGAGCAATAGACACCAGCTTTCGATGAAGCCCAAATACCGCTCTTTCAAGCTCAAGTACTTGAATCTCTCGTACTCCACCAGCCATTTTTCCCATCCTGGGAGATCGAAAAGAAAAGTCGTGCTATTGGCCGTGCCGAACAGAAACGCAGACGTAAAATCCATCCCCAGAGCCTGAAACAGCGGCAAGACATTGGTCGCCTCTCCCTTCTCCGCAAGCTTTTTCAAAATAGGGAGGAGCCTCTGCGAAAGAATGATGGACGAAATATTGCGCAGATCCACGGATTCGTGCAGATATGACTTGGAGTAAATCTTGCTCAGCATGCGCTTCTGCCGCGCATGAGAATCGTTGGGTAACATGCCCACAAGATTATCCGTAAGAAAATTTACAAAAGCATCACGGTAGAAGGAGTGTTTCTCGAAGGCACCGGTATAGATGACTTGAAGCCCCCGGAGTGAATTGACGCTCAGCTCATTGGGTCCCAGACGCACGACAGGCCCATGCTTGCGATGAAGGTCGTAGATGGTCAGTACCTCCTGCCCAGACCGCCGCTTCCTTTCAATCCAATAGCCCGAGACAGGGGCGGTGAAATGTGCATTGGGGATTTTCGAGAGAGGACCTAGGAAGTATGGAGAGATTAGGAATTTGTAGAGAACCAGCACCAAGGAACTGCCGACAGCAACAATGGTAAGGAGGGACATATTTCAATGCTGCATATAGGAAAAGGCACCTATGCAGTGGAGTTCAATTTATCAAGGGATCGACTGCATATTTAAGAATGGCCCATCCCCTCCATTGTGTAACTCTTAATATGCCGATCATCGGTGAGACTGGGAAGCAAGGGACTGTTAGCGTGGGATCACTGCATATTATGTACACGCCGTCGACACGAGGTTCGATCGCCAAACTCACATCTGAATGGAGTCATTTGACGAGTCAATTCACCTTCTGCATGAATCACATCCGACCTTCCTATTTGAGGTCAGGCGAATCAGAAGGCATGGGGTAACGGTGCGAAGCGGGTAGGAAGAGAGGAGCAAACAAATGAGGTTGTTGACAAGTCTCAAAATGCAAAAAGAATCACGCGCTACAGATGTCGGACTGGAATCATGAGTCTTGGACTATTGCTGGTATCGAACACCATCTGACTCCACTTATCCTAGGGCATTTTTATATCGTTGACCCCGCGAGCTTAATTGCTACTAACGGTGATATTAGTCAGGTGTCATATTAAGCTGTGCATTATGATAGTATCGTAATATTTAATGCAAACGAAGAGATCCTCTGGTCCGCTCAGATATTTGTAGAGGGACAACACAGGAAATGAACAAATGCAGTCCGTCCTCTTTTCAGAACGACGCCCAAAGAGACAACTCCAAAGCACCATGGCAATTGTATCCTGAAATTCCAGTACTTTCTTGAGACGTGAAGCGAAACTGATTCGACCACATGCTTATCAGTAGTAATGCTTAACAGCCTCCTTTCCACAGTAAGCAGAAAGAGAACAACCTGAACTCTCTTGGACTTGAATCAATCCTGTATAGACCAGGCGATCTACTCATCAAGTGCAAAATGGACGAGTGTTTTCTTTAAAGATTAACCCTAGTTATCCTTCCTCTCTACAATTCGACATGCCCCAAACAATATTGGTCGAATGCCTTTGGAACCCCAAGGTAGATTTGTAAGTATCCTTGTTCCTGCTAATTGATGATCGGATACTAGCTGCTAGCAAGTCTCCAGGGCGAAATAATACGGACTTCAAATGTTTTACTACAACATACACAAACAGCTACAACGCTTTGCCTGGAGTTCATCATTCTTGTCACACTGTATAGAAGCAACCCACTAAAAGGTCGGGCCAACTATAAAAGCCCATACCGTCGAGATCACCATTCAACAAGTGCTTTGCTTTTGCTGAATTGATTTCTAAGTATTTTTTGATAAATTGCCAAATCCCTCATAAGGAAATAAACGAATGCGTAATATTACTATCTATTCCTACCAAGTTCCAGCAAGCCAACGGCAGAGACGTAAGACATGATATTAGTGAGACAGCATCGGGCGAGTGTAATGACGAAAATACTCCACGGATTGTTTTTGGTTTAATCTCCTGCGAGTCGTCTTGTAATTGACGTTGTCAGACTACGGCGGACCATGTGGCTACCCCACTTATGGACATACCTTTCATTTGCCGTCTGTTTTCCGGCGATTTGCGATATCAAGCATTGTCCAATTGATTCGCCTGGAGTGGGACGGAACTTGGGGGTACTATGGAAAATAATCTGATCCTAGTGAGACCCTGGCCCAAAAGACCATGTCTCATTTGTCCGGGTTTCCCTCACTGCATTTCTGATGGATTGTCTAAAATGAACGGCTTCACGAATGCCACCGAACTAACCGTTTCGGGGCATGCCTCAGTCTGATCTGTCTGGTCCATGGCCCTCAAGCATCGATACGGATACCATGTAGACCTATCTCACTGGAAAAGTCGATTGACTTTCAACATATAAGGGTCCTGGGATCTCTTTCGAAAATGATGGAAATTCTCCAGACCAACTCCCTTCTCTCGTTGAAACCTCTTCAAGATGGCCCATCGTCCTCAGCAAAGCCCCAGTGCCCTCTATTTTCCCGCTTCCTGCATCGGCGATGGCACCACCACCCCGTTGGAGTTAGTCTACGCACTGGTAAGTACGCTAATAAATCATTGGCCGTCCCGATTTTTACGATAATGTGAACAAAGGACGAATATGGCGTCCACCAAGCCATCGATGAAACTTGTATGCCACGAGGACTGGCTCTTCCAACCACACCTCCGGACTCCAGTACTCAGCAGGCTGGGCACGACGGGCATAGTCTGGATCCCCATATGGTCGACGTGCTGCAGCACGATTGCATAACAAAAACTGTATTTTTACCACTTCCAGCCCCCACGTTGTGCACTAGTTATCGCTAACGCTAGGCTGACTCAATCCTAGGTCCGACGGCGCATGCAGAACCGAGAGGCCCAGCGCCGCTTTCGCGAGCGCAAGGACCAGCAGAAGAAAACCCTCCAGCAAAAGGCCGAGGATCTTCAATTCAAATGCCAGACTTTGCTGGATCAGTATACCAAGCGGACGGACGAGGTCTGCTGCTTGCTCAAAGAGAATGACGCCCTACGATCCGAGGTTAAGACTCTCCGCCAGCAATGGGAGATTATCTCCACTATTTTGCACCGGCCAAAAGGTTCCCGCTCCCCGCCTGTTGTTGTGGATGAGACTTCGCCGGCCCCGTCGCTTTGTTCCTCGTCTGAAAGGTCAATGAAATTCGATGACTTCTGGCGGCGTCTGGATGATTTCACTGATGATAAGCATTCCTCCAACCTTAGTTAGTTGTCAATCCCATCTATGGTTTGGCTTGTTTCACTTTTTCACCTATAATGATGATATCCCTATCTCCTTTTTCTTGGCTACATAATCGGAAATGGCTTGTTGAAGGGAATTGGGTGGGATATGTGTCCGACTCGACCAGTGCTGCCACACCGCGAGTTCTGGCCATTACTAACTGTGTATCTAATGTTGACAACTGATTTTACACCGTCTGGTTGGCTGTTTTTATTAGCGGCCCGTCCTGCTCGACCCGAGAGGGAGGGCTGATTGGGTTCCTACGCGATTGTGGCTTGAGCAGTATATCGATATGCTTCATCTGCTAACCCGAAACGGGAAGCTCGCCCCTTCTGTGATTGGGATGGAAGGCGCTCGCTCATGTAGCCTTATAAAAGATACGTGATGGGATTGTCGGCTCTCAATTCATCAGCGAGCTCTGTTCAGTTATAACACGATCACCATGTCGTCTCCAGTTTCACCAAAATCATCATCGTCATCCAGCTCATCCCCAGGAACCGAGGCCTCACCCATGCTCCGTGGCAACTCCAAGCCCATCTTTCTGTTCATCGACTCGCAGGCCGACAACCCGCAGAACCCCTCTCTTAACAAGCAAAAGCAGGCATTTGTCCTACGAAACTACCACCGGAAGAAAAAACAAGCCTCGATTGAGAGGCTGAAACCTTCGAAGCCATCTAAACCATCCCTATGTCTTGTCCACGGCAGGACCTCGAACTTCTCGCCAGCATATCCTTGGGATGCCCTCGCAGAAGAGAATGAAGAGTTCCAGTCAGACCGTCCGCAGGGTACTCTTAATCGGGTTGCAAAAATGTCGGAGATGTGGTCTCTGAAAGCGTATCTGAGCCAGGGTTTTGTGGATCCCTTTTCCGCCTCGGCCGTGCAAATGTCCGACTCGATGAATCTGTATTTTCATCACTGTATGAGCGGTTCACAGTTCCATGAGTACACACGCTGACGAGTCTAGTCCGGATCCACACCATCGCCTCTTGTTATCCCTTGACTCCACCCGCATGAGCATTTGGTGGTGGCAGCGAGCAATATCCCAGCCGGCTCTGCTCCAAGCGCTCCTCTTCCTCACGGCGGGCCACCACGCAACCCTCGAATCCAACAACGGAGTCTCCTCCACAGCCATCGAGAAATCAATCAAAGACTCCCTCCGTCTCCGCGGGAACACCCTCAAAACGCTGAACGATATCCTGCATGATCCCATAAAAGCCGTCGCAGAGTCCACCACCCTCATTGTAGCCTCGCTGGTGGCCATCGAGGCTGTGGATGCCAACTTTGAGGCTGTACACGCGCACATGAAAGGTTTAAAAAGACTCATTAATCTCCTCGGCGGCCTCGACGCCCTGGACCACATGACCCTCTCCAAAATCTACCAGTATGTACAGTTCCAATCCCCCACCGAGATCAAGAGACGGAAGTAACAAAGCTTGTGCAGGAGCGATGTCAAAAGCGCAGCCCTCCAAAATTCCCGTCCCACGTTTCCCATGTCCGCTCGCTGGCGCAGCGAGATTCTCCAGGAATCAACCCTCTTCCGCTCAACAGAACACCTCCGCGTCTCCGAATCTCTCGAGGCACTGGGGAGCCGCTTCTTCGCCGCACCGTGGTACCCGCCCTTAGACAACACCTTGAAGACGTTCGTCCAGATTCTGCGGCGCCTAATCATCTACTTCGAGACCGCGCAGCAGCAGCCCTCGATCGTCCTGCCGACGGACAACGACCTCTTCTTGGTGCTCGAGCACCAGCTCCTATCGGCCGCGTATGAGACCGGTACGACTCTGTTGCAGGAGCCACTACGCTTGTCCCTGCTGATCTACCTGAACCTGCGGATCTGGCATTTTCAGGCCTTTCCGTTCATGCAGTTCATGGTCGAGGGTTTGAGGAGAAGTCTGGTACCGGCATACGGACATGCCCAGTCCACCGCGCCGGATCTCGTCTTCTGGATTCTGTTCATCGGAGGGATGGCGTCGCAAGGCTATAAATGTCACCCCTGGTTCGTGAGTCGGTTAGCGGAGATGGCGCGTCGTCTGGATTTGGTCGAATGGGAGAAAGCGAGGGAAACGCTAGGCGGGTTCTTTTATACCGATCAGCCGGGCGAGAGAGGCGCAGAGAATCTGTGGAACGAGGTGCTTCTGATGGAGAGTTGTAAGTGCTTCTATGACCTTGATCCGAGCATGGGGCTAACGTTATTCCAGACCCGTACATCGCCCCAAAACCGACGTTTCAGGTCCTCATGTTATGATTATTTGCCATGGGCTATCTTCTGCCGAATTGCGAATACGTCTCTAGGTAAACCAACGATCTTGTGTGGAATTCTCAGCAATTCTCAAGCAAGATACAGTACATTCAACCTTGAATCAAACTCATATCAGGCGCTGGAAGAGGTCCGGAACGGGGTGGTCGACGACGACCGCTCATGATACAACAGGCACACTCTTCGGTACAGTGTCCATAAACCTCGTCTCCCAGTAATTGCATCAAACGATGTCGCCGCTGAAGTATGGCGAAAACCGCGTGCCTCCAGTTCCAGAAAGGGGTTGCCCTGATTGTTTTGGACATCGAGCCGGTGCTCTGTTCCTCGCGTTTTTGGCTCATCGTAGTACCAGTCTCTCTTCCATCGTTTGTGGGCCGACATGAATTCCTGTTCGCACTTGGGCGTTTCCTCCTCCTCCTTCTTGTTCTTGCGAAACAAGACATCCTCCTTTGTGTGCAGCTTTCCTACGGTGAGGTGATCGTTGGGGGAAAGTTATGTGAAAGGTTTGACAGCTATTTGGTGTTCTTGTCATTATCTAGCGTAGGGGAGGGGCTAAGGGGGATGAGGTGGCAGGAGAACTCCGCCCACTATGTCTGGGACGCGCTTTCTATTGCTTCGCGCTTATTTCAGCTCGTAGCAATGGTGGAGTTGGTCTTTGCTGCTAGCACTTCCTTCGTTGAGGTTGACGCCGAGGGCTGCAGATATGTCGTATGGGATCAACTGCCTGACCTTTCAGAAGGCGCATTGCCAATGGACTATACAACATCAAAAATGGCGTATTCGAAGGAAATAGTTAGATTTATGTATTCTCATTGAGATGACTACGGCCAATGACTCTTTGTCTGGCCAGAGGGAGTCAATCTCCATGGCAGTCCTAACATCAAATATTTACGCATTCTGGGTATCATTGATCATCACCTGGCATAGTAGCAGGTTCATCACTGGGGTTTTTCGGATCCTGCGAAGCGGATGCCTGGTGGATCTTCACCCTTGCAGGCAAAGTCCGACCGTCCGTTTCCTTATCGTTCACACTCAAGCTTTCTTCATTAGCCGTTGCGGATGAACATTCGGCCTGGTCTTTATGGATGGCTTTTTCGTCCGACACCTGCGCATCCGTCTCGACATGTCTATCGTTCTGTCTCTGTCGCCCATGAAGAAGTTTCTCTTTTGAATCATCCAGCGTCTCATGCAAGGCTCGCAATTTGTGCTTTGCCCGAACGTATCCCTCCATGCCTGCAAGGATGGCGTACGACTTTGTGATGGAAACATGGGACATATCCACACCTTGATCCTGCAGGGCGTGGACGAAGGCGCGAAAATTGGCCGAAGGCGGACGGTAATGGCCACTGAAACGTAAGTATTTATTCCTGTCTCATCTGCAGAGTGAAGAGAGGAAGATTAATCTACCTTAAAGGTGTTACACTACGTAGCTGACCGTTCCAGATTTTGATCAACCCTGCCGCCGCAACGCGTGCACCCCGTAGGAATGAGGAATGTTGGAAGGCTCCCTTTTCCTTAATGCCGATGTACAGACGAAATGAAGTGTCCGCGACCTGTGTCACCGTCAGTCATGGGTACTCTGGGTCCCTGATAATAGGGAAAAGTTGTCTCACGAATAACCACATGTCCTTTCTCTTTGCGGGCTTGCGAGCAAAATGGTCGCGCACCACCGACGGTGTGATATGGGCTAATTTGTGGATTCCTTTTGCTTCCTCATACCCTTGGTTGATCTGTTCGCTGGGACGATCATCCGCTGAGTCTCCATCAGTCGACGACTGACTTGACATGGAAGACGAGCTTGAAGCATACGCAACCGGATAACCAGCCTCGGAGTGACCTCTAAACTGTGGCGCGTCCTCATCGATCGGCACAACCCCCTTGAGACTATCCTTGAAGCGTGTACTATCCGTGCACACAAGCTCGTTATTCCTTGCCCAGCGGAAGTGACCTGCCTGGTCTACCGTGACCAGATAATTCAGCCGCTCGTCCCGGCTGAGATAGCGCACTTGCTGATGCTCCAGCTTTGCACGCGGACACTCAGGCAAATCTAAATCTTTCCCCTCGCCATGATCGAGCCAATAGAAGAAGTTCTGGGTTGAGGGGCAGTTTTTCCAATAATTGTGATATTTGCGCAGGTTGCTGCCATGACGATGCTTGAGATCAACCATTTCGAGAAAGTACCGTTGGTCCATCATCTTGGCCATCTTCTCAGATGGTACTCCGTGATGGAGTATGGGAAATGAATGGAGAAATCGCGATCTGGTAGTGGAAGAAGCATTCGCTGGCGCATTTTCGGAGGGTCGTCCTGTAGCCATTGGACTAGCTGTGGGCAGTTTTGAAGAATCGGTCTCGTTCCTGAACTTGCCGTCATCACTGCCGGCTTGCATAGCGACACCGACGACTCTTTCCCATTTTTGGTGCACCTGTTTGGAGGTGTCTGGGCCTGCGCCCTCTGTAGAAACGGATGGACGATGGAGCTGACGCCATCTTGCTTCTTTGAAAGCCTGACAGAAGAAGTAAGCAGACTGGTCAGAATATGACCCTCCAGAGGACATTACCTCAGACCATCGCGCAGATGCATTCAGCCCCAACCCATGTAGTTCACGTCGCGTTCGATATCCGCGATAAGTCCTCTACACCGTCAGGTTAAACATATACAACACTAGAAGAAAAACAAGACAATGCTGCTTTATGACAACTAAATAGAAGATGTACTCCGTACCTGAATAAGACGAGCTGCTTTCTCCCGATCCGCTACAGTGACGTCATTGTTCCTGGCAACTTCTGTCCCATCGGTCGCGGTGTGGAGAGAAAAACCATCACCAGACGCAGCAGCTGTCTCTGCAGAGGGCACCGCAGAGGTGACTGCTATATATTCAGCCATATGAGGGAAACGAGATCATCAAAGGCGAGTTTATTTAAGAGAAGACGGGGAGATAATATGGAGTAGATCAAGAAGATCCCCAAGGAACTCTGTCGCAGCCAAACGAGGAGTTACTGGTGCCAAGGACGGAGATCATCACGAGCGCAGGTATTCAGGCTAGCCAGGCAGCCATTCAGAGGATGCTCCACCAGTATTTAGCGCTCGCTTAATGGCGGTGCATACAGCCTTACATGGTTCTCCAGGACAAGGACTCAGGGATGGTCAATCTCCCTTTGATTATCTTTGCATGTGCGTTCTGTCAGTTCTGTAATTGAAGATGGTTATATAGTATCATTCTCGCACTTGCGTTTCGCGCTCCCATTCGCATAGGATCTGTTCCTTCCACCGGTGACTACTGACAATGGAAAAGTTTTGGTGTCAATAGTATTCATCAAAACAAAGAAAAGAGCGGCTCTGAAAGCACGCTTCAAATGAGACTGGGTCCAAGAGCTTGATGATGGCATTGTGCTTAGCAAAATGCGAGGGTCATCTCAGGATGGTCTGTTCTCTTACAGCTACTGATATATCTGCCCATCTGGCCCATAGCAGTGGCTCGTGAGAATTACACCAACGCTGTCAATGAGAAGTCGACTCTCCAGCTTGAGTGCGCTTACGTTGTCCTTGACTTCTGTTTGATATTATTCGAGGGACGACCCCGAACCAGAGCTACCTTTTTCCTTTGTCGTCATCTCGGTGCGTTTCGATTTACTCTGAGACACCACACATCAGTGCCTAAACGTCAGCCCTTTGCTAGTGCTCAGTTGAGAAAAGTGCCGAAGACAGGTCTCCGACCAGACAGGCCCATGAAGTCTATATTCACTTGCCAGTCTAAGTGCAACTCTACACTGCCTCTGCCTTTCAATGAGCCCATAGCAGAATTGGCTCACTTTCTTGGATGTACTACCTTTCATATAAATCCTAAACAACTCCATCCTACCACATACGACCATAGGGTGTGGAAAACAGGGCTTCCCGTCCGCTCAGCCGTACTTAAGCCACACGCCGGCCGGTTAGTAGTTGGGTGGGTGACCACCAGCGAATCCCGGCTGTTGTATGTTTTTTCCTCACCTGGTCTTTTCTTTTTTACTTTATTATATGCCATTGCTGTCCTTGCTGAAACCTTTAAGGCAGATGCAGCTGCTGTCAGAATCTATGCTGCCCCTTAATAGTTGATCGATGCAGAAGATGAGCTGGCTATAACCTATGGCTCTTCTTGTTCTACTACATACAACCATAGGGTGTGGAAAACAGGGCTTCCCGTCCGCTCAGCCATACTTAAGCCACACGCCGGCTGGTTAGTAGTTGGGTGGGTGACCACCAGCGAATCCCGGCTGTTGTATGTTTTTTTTTCTTTGTTTTATTGCTTTGGTAGGAGGGCCTGCCTTGTCTTTCACCCTCTTCATCCTTCGTCTATACGACCGGTGCCACGAAACCGTGCCTATCTACACGTCCAGCTGCAGATCGGCCACTGTTGGCTGGCACTCTACAGTGAGATTTATGGATCCCAAGAGGACGATAGATGTTATTGTGGGGCCGAGGGAACTATTAACCATATCATACTCGACTGCCCAACGCTGAGAATACCACAGCAAAATCTACGCAGAGAGATCGGAGACGCATTCGGCGATATACCAACCATGCTATGAGGTAAGGGGAATACCAGCCACGCAAAGGCTGTAGTGGATTTTGAGAAAGGCAGTCATAGTTAAGTGCACTATGCTCGAGTTTCACTACGATCCATTTCGGTTTGACCGTCCTCACTTTTTGCCCACACAACAAAAGAGATGTCCTTAATGTGAAGGGACAAGCGAGGGAAGAAACTGGTCAAAGAAGGGGATAATTATAGACACACATCAGTGCAGGTACGAGAAAGAGAAGGCAAGCGTCGCAGAGTTGTTCATAAGACATGGAGCCATAAGATACTTAGCAAGGAGATACATACATTAAAAATACCCATTGCTAACATTGGGTCGTTGTATGTAGGTCTTCGATAACCATAATTTGCCAGAGTTGCGCTGAAGGGTAGCGTGGGGAACGATACAATATGAGATATTTAGTATATATACACGGTTATGCCATAACCTTCAGTTGCAAATAATACCAACAAATGACTGCTCCCAGGCATTGTCTCTACCTTCACAGATACTCTAGAAAAGACAGAACCCTATATCCACTCCAAATATCTCTTGAAGATACTCTAATGTTGCATCAGAAAGCTCAGAGCCTCGGCCCTAATCGCCAAGAGCGGGCAGCTTCTTCGGCGAAATTATCACCTGGTTTATGCTTGGACGTGAGGGTCTGTCTGATATTAACTCCGGACTTGTTCTGGGCCAGCAGATCGATCAGGAATTCGTGTCATTTTGACCAGAAAACATAGATTCCAAGAGGATTCGCAATGTTCAAGATGATTGATTTTCAAGACTATCTGCGAACGACTACCTGGTCTTTAATCATGTGACACAACCCTCTGAAGTGTAGTCGGCCTAATTTTTTTTTTTTTTTTTTTTTTTTTTTTTTTTTTTTTTTGAATAGGATGATTACAATTCATTAGAATTGGAAAGAGCGGTACGAACATGAAGCTTCTCAAGATAGTCATCATAGTCTAGAGGCAAAGTGGGCGATGAGGATTCTGCCGATCGTCAATAATTATCGATAGGCAACTTATCGATGACAAGCCTGATTTTACGGGGGTCAGTTCACTGTACATACTTCGGAGTTCGGGGTAGGTCAGGAAGAATACGTGAGAGGGTAATCATCCCTAGCAAGAGGTCGTGTCAATTTGAACAATAGGTCGGAAGACCCATACAGAGGAGATAGATGAATACCATTCGTACACTCAATCAATGTCAACGGCTGTCAGAATAAGCTAATCTAAGTTAGGACATGATTTGGAATAGCTGGGGGCGAATAGTTTGCCTCCCACGAATAACGTGCGTACATTAGTGCTGATTCTGCTTGGGAGTGTCATCATTCGTGGGGCTGATGCATTTTCAGCCTCAAAAAGACTCCAGAATGGGACCCGCCCAAAGGTTTCTCGACGGACATGGAAGACGAGCTCTGAGACACCTTGGTTAATACGGTCGATTCCCCCTTTTGTGCCGATACCTTGATTCGCGAAATCTAGTGGCGTCGACAATATGGCTGGCGATATGACGCTCTTGGAACCGCGGGCGACCGGATTCAGACTCCGGAAGACACACAAGAAATCTAGGGACGGTTGCTCCAGATGTAAACACCTGCGGAAGAAGGTAGGTCGTTTCTGCATCTCGATGACTCTACACGCAGTGTTCTGATCATATCGCCCAGTGCGATGAGTTGAGACCGAGCTGCTCCAGATGTACCAAGCGCATGTATACATGTCGGTACCACAACCCTTCCAGTGATGGCAACTTGTCAATGGAGCAGGGATCGACTCAACTCCCTGTTCCCAGTTTGCCTGTCTCCCCACCAATTCCCAGTACCGCAGTCCCAGAGTGTGTGTCACCCTTAGCACCTTTGAGTGATCAGTCCTCGGTTCCCAGTCCTTTGTCTGGTGGACAAACTGCTTCCTTTTCAAGTCTGGGTACGGATGAAGAAAGACCACGTTTGGATAGACACACTCCTGGTACTCTTGATACGATAGAACTCGGTCTCTTGAGCCACTACCTCACGCACACCAGTCGAACTATACCTGTCGACGATCTCGATCTCTACGCTCTTTCGGTAGGGGTGCCAAATCTCGCTTTCAGTTCCGACGTAGTCATGTCATCCTTGTTAGCCCTGGCAGCAGCATGCAAGTCGCACAATATAGCTAAACGAGCCCAAGCGCGTCTGGACCCCAGAGCCTAATGGATATTCGAAAGCTACTTGCGCTTGCGGAGCGCCATCACCAGGCTTCCCTACGGCACATACAAGCGACCATGCAGAACTCGGATTCGTACGATCACGTTCTTGCAAACGCAGCATTGATGGTCTTGTACGCCTCTGCTAGCCACTCCATCCGAGTGCAACTTGCGGCCGCTGCAAAAAAGTGTAGGCAGCGGTTGCCAAATGAGGTGCTTCCACAACACTCACAATGGATCTCGTTCACTCGCGCTGCCCATACAGCGTCGACTGCAATTCTCAACGGACTTGTAGCCGGCGCAGATGAAATTTGTACTGCCACCTCCAGCCCGATTCTAGATGCACGATCAGAATTACCGAATCCGGGTTTTTGTAGCACAGATGGCTTATCACCAGAGGATGGTCCATCCGAGAACACAAAACGTATATTTATGCCTCTAGTCGCATCTACATTCAAACGAGCTCTTGATAGTCTACGCAGGAGAGCTGAATTGACAACCGCCCCTTTGAAAAGGTCAGAGCTTTGTGCAGCCGACTACCTACAGCTACAGGCATGCTTGGAAACTGTATCTGTACTTGAGCGATGTGCATGCGCAGCTCTATCCGCAAGAGAAGGTAGCACAAGCGCCGAGCCACCAAGATATCAGCCAATATCATGTGGTGGATTCTCTAAAGTCTCGCCGTGGGTGGCAAGATACATGATCAGTGTCACGTCGATGGAGTCGCCGCAGATACTCCGACGGATCATCATGTCTTTTCTGAACAAAGCACCGACTGAGTACCTTAATCTCGTCCTGTCAGTGCTGGATTCACCCTCCGCGGAGGCGAGGGCTGAGAATTGGATGGCACGAGACTCACCTGGGACGGAGGTACCGCTGCTCGACGCCACGCATTTACTAGCAATGGACATCTTTGCCCATTGGCTGGTCCTTGTTATGTTATTGGATGGCGTCTGGTGGATTAGTGATATTGGAGAGTGGGAGCTTGGCCAGGTTATATCATTAATGAAGACTCAGGATCTGCCAAGCCAGTCTGCAGATATTGGACAAACGTGGTGGCCCGAGACCATGTACTTGGTTAAGCGGGAGCTCACTCCAAGTGCTTAGCACTGGTAGATTCTTGATATAACTATTTCATGCCAACTACTACTCATGCGCAGCGTGTTTGAAGTTTTGATTGTTAGCAAAGTCAACATGGACATGGGGTTTACAGTTCCGGATGAGGATTGTGGCATGAGCGTATTATAAGCGTATTATGTGACTCCATAAGCCAACGGCCCCATATTTGGAGCATCGTAGTACAAGAGTGTGTAATATAGAACTGGCCTCAGTGTACTATATCTATTCCAGGGAATGATAATATATCAAGAATAAAAAACATCGAATGGGCCCAGCTAGGGGACTTTCTCTAGCTGACAAACTCAGTTCACGCTTCATTTTCCCTCTCTTCCCCTGTTCACAATCACAATGCCGTCGGTAGTTCATAAGACCACTGTGACCCCCAGCCCATAGCAGAAAAGAATTTGAGCGCACTTGATAGTACTCAAGAGGCAAGAGGCTACCCAACTGGGACTCGACGCAACCACGCTTGTCCACAGGTCGGTGCTCGAATCGGTCCTCTATCCACCGCAACAAGGTCTGCTTCGCCGCGTTGATGGCGGCGAAATGACTTGCCTGAGGTACAGCCAAAAGTTCCAGATCCCCAGGATAGCTCTTGCATGTCTCTTGCATTGTAGCCTTTGTCGAGTTGTATGGCACTATCCGGTCTTCTGTCCCCTGAACGAGAAGAATTGGTCCCTTGAAGGGCCGCTTTCCAGGGTTCGAGAGTTGCTCGAAGGCTTTGGCATACCAAGTCTCGTGCCAGTCAGGCTGCAAGATCGCCTCTTCAGGGCTGAACATAGCAAATGTAACCATTTGGGATCCCTCAATCTGATTTAGGAGTTCTATTCTACTCACGCCAAGTGGAGTGAACCAGTCGCTCAGGTTGAAAGACGGGTAAATCTGGTTCAGATCCTTTGCAATCCACGCTACGAAACCTGCAGAGGTAAACGATAGCGCGTCAGTTGGCGGAGCAGCGAGAACCGCGCCGCGATAACCCTTCCCCATATTCTCAAACTTGGTATCGTTCCGCGCCAGAATTTCAGACAGGCCCCAGGCAACCGCGCAGCCCTGGCTGTGGCCCATGACAACATAATCGCTGGAAAGGTGGCTGGGAAAGGACTCCCGAGCTGCTGTCAAAGCGTTCAGAGCATCGTGAGCACCAGCTTCGCGAACAAAATACTGGTGCGGAACGTGACTTCCATCCCAGGAGACGTCCACGCCGAGGCCGGCATAGTCTGGGGCAACAACAGCGTATCCAGCCTCGGCCAGCGCAAAAGGCACAATGTCCGCGTAGAACAGACCACGGTGTGTTGACGGAGCTCCATTGGCATAGAAGCCCGAGGTTCCATGTGTCCATAACACAACGGGCGCGGATAATAACCCCGAGTTGTGGTTTTTGCGTCGGAGAACTTTTGGCTGGAACGGCCAAAGGATATAGGCGGAAGCCGGGATCAGAGTACCATTTGCATTTGTCGTGCTATAGATGATACGGGACATGGCCGTTTTTGCGGGGATGGAGAATGGCGACGGATCCGTGAACTCCTGGAGCTTAATTGTCTTCCCAGGCTCCGTGGGCCATTGGTCCCTGGGCAGGCCCCGGACATTGTAGAAGCCATCCTCATGGGCTCCACCGTTGGCAAGCTGAGACCGGTCAAAATTGGTGATAGTGTTGATGATGGCGCCCTGGTCGCTTGTCAGGTTGGCCAACTTGAGCTGGTTCGGGCTGAGCTCGAAACTCGCATTCCATCCAGTCGACTGTGTCGCTGCAGCTGAAATAGCTTGACTCGTGACCAATCTAACTCCGAGCACCACGAAAGCGAAGTGTTGGAGGTATGTAAACATCGTAACCTTGGTGGTTTGCCGTCAAGGAATGCGTTCAGATCTTTGATAGTTTCCAAGAGTATTTGTTGATTTTGAAGAATGGACAGACAGCCTCATCGCTGTCTGTCACCTTTATATTCGAACCCGTCATCACCAGACTGAGGTTGTTCTCGCAGAGATTGAAGAATCTCGCGTCAGGTCTTGCTGCAGCAATGTCAAGCAAGGTAGCAAAATTACAAAGCATCGCCGTATGGCCTAGATCCGCCATGTCTTAGGTTCTAGAAGGAATTACGCTGTCGTAAACGATGCTAGTGCTAGTGCATACGACTATCTTCAAGCCATGACACGCTCCAATGTGGGGATACACATCGGCAGGGGGCTGACAGGGCTGAGAACCACGGCGTATTACTAATACGCCCTAATACGCCCCGAGCTACATCTGATCAAGCCCTGATACGCAAATCTCCACGTGCTGACAGTCATACCTGGTGATGGCTAAGGAAGGGGGCTGAGCTGTGCGTATAGGAAATTCGCTTGGGACCCTGATGCGCATACGCAGTAAACGAGCAAGGCTGAAGGATACCATTTGGAATACATCCAGGATTCCTGGTAGTCTAGTTCAGATACGATGTGCTGGAATGAAACGAGCCATATGTTGGTACATATGTATATAAGGACCGTCATTGCCTCCTAGACAATAACAGCAACAACAACAACAAGACAGCCTCCCAAGATCAACTCCAACAACCATCATGCTTCCTGACTTTCCCCTACACTCCATCGTTGCGGTGATGCTCGCCTTTGTCCCTTTGGCGAGGACAGCACCTCAACCGATCACGAAGCGCTCGACGTCGGAACTTAGCTTGACAGCTCAGCTGCGACTTGCAGACACGTAAGTACCTCCAACATGGACTCAATGGTGCAGAACGAACGATCTGATTGTTTAGCGGCATTGAGCGTTACAAGCTCCTCCCAAAGGATGAAGACTTTGTCTTCCATTTCGACGGAGCCTCGCTTCCGGTTGCCACCAGCCAGAATTTTCCCGCCCTTGTAGGCACTGGTGCATCATTCAGTATCTCGCAATTGCCAGGTATTCTTGACCAGGGTTGGCTCTACCTCTTGAAGCTACGCTAATCCATCTCAATAGCATGCAGCATGAGCTTCCTGCACCTCCATCCTCGTGCAACTGAGCTCTTCGCCATTACGTCGGGGCGCGTGTTGTCTGAAATGGTACCGGAGACGGGCGTCCTTGACTCTGAAGGCCACCAACGAGTCATCCGTGCAGAGCTCGGCCCTGGCATGTTGACCATCTTTCCGGCTGGGTCGTTTCACACACAAGTGAACCCAGACTGTGAGCCTGCCAATTTCACCGCAGCCTTTAACTCGGATGAGTTTGCCGTGGGTATTGTCGCTGCACAGACATTTTCATTCAGTGATGATGTAATTGCTGCCACATTTGGGGAGACCATCGCGGGCGAGGATATCGAGAAGGTCCGGCATGCTATTCCTGCGACCATGGCCATCAAGGTTGAGGAATGTTTGACCAAGTGTGGCAAGCAGAAGCGCCAGGCTTAATATCCTGAGGTGATATTCAGTACTGGAGACCCCCATAGTAGAGTTGCTTCCTACATGGACGCAGCCAGGCTACCAGACAGTTCTGACTCAGCTTATTATAAGTTGCTGCCTCGTTGCAGGCGATTGTATTTCACATTCTGCAAAGACTTCTCTATTGGCAATTCTGTGTTTTAGTGGGCACTAGAATGATATTATTTCTATATGTAAATTATACTGATAGAGAGTGTGGACGAAGAGCAGCATAATAGTGTATTGCAGCCAAATTACCTAACGAGTCCCAGCGAGAACCAACCCTCACCCATCAGGTATGTATACTGTCTGATTAGTTATAAGTTAGGCATAAGGAGTAGAAGTAAGAAAGATATATCATAGGTTTAAGCCACTTCTCTCTCTTATATAGGTGTCATTATGCGCTTCTATTAAAATATGGCTTCTTAATCAAAAGTGCAAAATATTTCGGTGTCTTTATATTCACCTGAAGGCTGCTAGAATAGGTAGCAAAGTGGTAAGGGAACAGATGCTAGGATGGCTGAGCACCAACATATACATATTATTGTATGTTTTTACTATTCTTTTTGGCTTGGTTGTATGCATCTGCCTGTTCAAGCTGCCTGAAGCCTACTATTCTTCACCCGGCAAGCCTAATGAAGTGGTTGTCCAGCGTGCAGTCTCCGTCCTTCCTTAACAGCACCTGCACCGCGGCTATGAATCCAACCTCGGCTGCAAACCTTCCTTTGTGACAATCAAGGCATTCTACAGCCTAGGACATCCGCAAATGCTTGCATTACGCGTTCATCACAACATGGGGCATGGCACGGCTGTTCCTAGGACTGAGATAAGAGAAAAAGGTGGTGAGGAAAAAACATACAACAGCCGGGATTCGCTGGTGGTCACCCACCCAACTACTAACCGGCCGGCGTGTGGCTTAAGTACGGCTGAGCGGACGGGAAGCCCTGTTTTCCACACCCTATGGTCGTATGTACCAGGCTCTATGTAACTCTAGAATAAGTAGGAAATGCCGGCAATATGATCGTATAGATGAAGCACTAACATATTAGCCTTGGCTGCACGTTCCCTAGACGAGAATTTTGGACTATGGCCGCCCCCCCGGAAATTAATTCAGTATGTATCGACATTCTCTCGTGATAGTCTTCTTCGCAGGCTGAACCTCAAGGGGCCTGTGCCTGGTCCGATGACTCTTCCCAGCGTCCAAAATTCGTCCACCAGTCGGCCACGGCGGTGGAAGGGCATCGTCATTTGTGGAATACGACAAGCGACGTTGAGTTATCCTATCACGAAGATATGCCAGTCCGAGGCGTTGCAATGACGAATTTCATTTAACAGCCTATATTGCGCAATAGCGTCTGATACCCCCAGAACCTTGCTCATATGACCGCGGCATCTGTGACAGTGGGATGAAACAGGGGGAGTTTCTTCAGGCCTGCCGGCAAGGGGTACCGAATATCCGGGGGTGCAATTTGCGGGGTGATCTCAGCAGTGGCTGGACCTTTCCTTTCTTGATTCGGACATAACAGGGTATCCTGCAGAGTGTGGAGAGTAAATGCACGAACAGCCGACGGCTGCAAGAATTTTTCCGCGGGGAAATCAGACTAGTCATGCATCATGCTCTATATCCACCTATCTTCGGCATATCAGCATCCCTGCTGTTGTCCATGGCTTTCGACAATACGTGGAGTCTTCGTGTCTGTCCTGTGACTCTGTCGTTCTTATGGTGCAGTCCAGCCTGGGGCCATCCGAGTTTCCGACGATATATCAATTGATATATGTTGCATTATTCATTGGCAATTTTCACTTGCAGTGTTTAGGCCTCCTTGTACGCAATCTATCCCGCTCAACGAGGCGTCTAGAAGGCATATTCTACTGGATGGCTGGACGGCATGGACTTGATTCTCTTCTGGCACACAGCATGTCACGGTCTGGTCCTGGAACGATCCCAATATCCAGTTTCATTTGCTGTAATGCCGGCTAAAATGAATAGTTATGATATAAAGCAGTCCTCCTCGTAGCTCTCTCACACAAGATTCTTCTATTCCTTTGACTGGAAGCAATCTACCCCTTTGTTTATCGCCTCCTCTGATCTACCAAGCAGCCAGCATTCACCATGAGACACGTTCAATCCACTCAGCTGCTTGCAGCATTTCTCTTCGCCGCTCAGGCTGCAGCTCATGGCCATGTTTCAAACATCGTGATCAACGGTGTTTCATACCGCGGATGGAATATTGATTCTGATCCCTACAATTCTAATCCTCCGGTGGTAGTAGCGTGGCAGACCCCCAACACGGCAAATGGCTTCATCTCCCCAGATGCGTACGGAACGAACGATATCATCTGTCACCTCAATGCCACCAACGCGCGTGGGCATGCTGTGGTCGCTGCCGGCGACAAAATATCCATTCAATGGACGACTTGGCCAGACTCCCACCATGGACCAGTATGTTCTCTTCCGTCCAGCCGGGCTCCGCTCAATAATGGAGCCGTGATGAGAGCTGGCCAGATATCCATCAAGCAACTGGGTATGATATTAACTTAGTATAGGTCATTGACTACCTGGCTAGGTGCGGTTCGAGCTGCGAGACCGTAGACAAGACCACTCTGGAGTTCTTCAAGATTGATGGTGTTGGACTGGTGGACGAGTCAAACCCACCGGGGGTCTGGGGCGACGATCAGATGATCGCGGATAATAACTCGTGGCTCGTGGAAATTCCACCGACGATTGCACCGGGCTACTATGTTCTTCGACATGAGCTGATCGCTTTGCATGGAGCTGGAAGCCAGAATGGAGCCCAGAACTATCCCCAGTGTTTTAACCTTCAAATTACAGGGTCAGGGACGGCGCAACCTTCCGGTGTGAAGGGTACAAAGCTCTACTCACCCACGGATCCGGGTATTCTGATCAATATCTATACCTCGCTTTCGACGTATATAGTTCCGGGCCCGACTCTCATTCCCGGTGCTGTGTCAATCGTGCAGTCCAGTTCTACCATCACTGCTTCGGGAACGCCTGTGACCGGTTCTGCAAGTGCCCCAACTACCAGTGCACCGACGACCACAAAGGCTACTACAACGCTGTCCACGACAACTACGGCTACGACCACCAAAGCTACGACCACGGCAGGCGGCTCGACTTCGGTTCAATCTGCCTACGGCCAGTGCGGTGGCAGTGGATGGTCCGGTCCCACAGCCTGCGCCACCGGAGCCACATGCAGTGCTTACAACAGCTACTACTCCCAGTGCATTCCAACCGCCTCCTAGGTGTGCTTGAATGCTTGTGGGAGTTTACTTTGATCCCCGCCTATGCCTTACTAGCCTCCATTTCCTGGCGATATTTGACAGTGCATTCGAAGCCTGGATTGGATGATGACTACTTTCTTCGAGTAATATAGCTGAGTTATCCAAGTTCATGTTGTAGCCAGCTATGAACCAAACCATGGACAATACAATCGTCTATTGAGCGTGGCCATTGCTCTCTTCATATAGCAATCCCCTTCCAGACTTCCGCCCAAGAAGCCCTCGGTCCACGTACCTTTGCTTCAACCACTCGATAGGCTTCGCATCGAGCCCTCTCTCCTCCACATAATGCTTCTCAATATTGTATACCGTATCCAAACCCACCCGATCCATCATCTCACATGGCCCAACCTCAGCATGAAACCAACTCTTGAAGAGTTGATCGATATCCCCGGCCGTTCCCACCCCTTCAGCCATAACCAAGAGAGATTCCCGCTTGATGGCAGCCCAAATCCGATTAAAAATCAGCCCTGTGGATTCCACCTGGGCATGGATGGGCACGAATCCCGCTGCGGAGGCCTGCTCCATCAGAAACGCAATGATGGATGGATCTGTGTATCCGCAGGTCATGATCTCGAGATAGTTCTGGTCGGGAGGCATGTAGTAGTGTCCGTTACACACGCGGTATCTCCGGGTGACGTGCTGAATCATCTCACTTGATTTATATGAAGAGGAGTTGGTGGCCAGAATACAGTCTGGTGGAGAGAGTTGGTCCAGTTGGCCGAATAGTTCAATTTTCAAGGAAAGAATCTCTGGAACTGCTTCGATGACCATCCAGGCGTTCAGTACTGCATTCTCCAATGAGAAAGAGAGTAATACACTCCCTTGTTTCGTGCCGAGTTTGGTGGATTGTTCTGGCATGGCGTCGTTGACGTACTTTAATGCCGCGCTGGCAACTTCAGGGGATTTCTCGTACAAATGGACAGTATGCCCTGCTGCTGCCCACATCATACATAGTCGACGGCCCAGAACCCCGCCGCCTATCACAGCGACAGGGCGAGTTGTTGTATCGGGCTCGATCCATGAGGTTGATATCATGGTGATATGGTTGTGGTAGCTGGTAGGGTTTATTTCTGGGAATAGAGGGGATAGTGCTCTAGCGACTAAGAAGCAGACCTCCAGGAATAAGTACAGAATCGGGCATGCAAAAGATTAAGGCCCCATTGGGACCATCACAGTGACTCAGTTTCGGCAATAATACGATAGTACATACTACGGCAGACCCCACAAACCCCCACGTTCCCACATGGCTGACCCCAAATCCACGTGATAATGCGCCTTTGTGATTCTGATTGGCTCGTGTCTTCCCTCGGACATGTTTTAGTGTTGGGGTGGGGTAACAAAGTGTCTCGGATCCTCTCCCACATAAGAGGAGGTATTGGGGCTTATCTTTCCTACAGCATCCAATTCAACCCTTTCATCGACCCCATCCATCATGAATGATGGCAACTCCCTCTGGGGCTTACTTGCCCACCCGACAATCACCTATTCTTGAGCCAATCCCCCATTACCCCAGCAATGTCATCCCAGAAGAGCGGGTCACATTACGCATGGCGATCATCTTATCCAATGGTAGTAATTTTAATCGCTGTCAGCTCATGTCTGTAATTGCGAGGCTAATAATGTGGCACAGGAGTTCGAGTAGACCACCAATTCACATTCCCGGCCATGAACATCGCCAACTGCATCATCCACGGCGAAGGGGAAATGTACTCGGTAGAAATAACCCACCGATGCACCTGCCGCCGTCTATTGCATGAGGAGCTCGTCCGGATGCTTCCCGCGTTCCTACGCGAAAATGACGTGTATTGGTTCCGCACCAGGAACCCAGAGACAAACATTCAGCATACCTGCTTATTCGACGGCGCGGAGCTCGAAATGCAACTCGTGACCTCGCACGTCCCCGAATGTGGCTTCTGCTTTGCGCGTCGAGCGTTTATTGCCGAGCGGGATGCCTTTGACCGGCAGCAGAGCCAGATGCCTCGGGGATCGGCATCGTCGACTTCCCCGCGCGACCAGAGTCTGAGCTCTGGGTGGACGTTCCGTGAGCCGGCCGATACGGAGCGATTACGGGTGAATCGCCATGGGTGGGAGATTATGTTTGTTCTTCATCCTGATGCGAGGGAGGGGGCGGTGACTATCTCGAGGTTGAGGATGGAATTGTGTCGGTTGCTGTCCATTGCGGACCCGAGACGGATCATCTTGACGAGTGGGCCATTCACCTGGGGAGGAGATTTCCAGGAAGATGGTAAGGATTACTACAGTACTTATTTCGTAAATGATCTAATCGTCGAGTCGCGGAGTATGAAGACGCCGAGGGGCAGCGCTCTCATGTATGTACTCGAGGCAGATCCAATGGGACGGCCATTATAGCAATCATTTTTGACCTATCAAGAATCTTTACAACCCTTGTAAAAGAAACAATTCGAGAATGTGAACTGTAAAACCTTAAGCCTCCCCACGTGCGGAGCACTAAGGTTACATCTACGTATTTACCATGCGCATAGACCGGGTGGACCGGTCAACCCCGCAGTGTCGCCCCCACAAGATTTGTCCAAAGTTTACCTCTCGTATGTTCGTCCTTGGCGAAAAAGATGAAAATGAAAATGACTGGGGTTTAAGAGATCAAAGTCGAAGTCCACCCCATGAGTGCTTCCAGACTATGGTCTTGGACTCTCCCCAACTGACACCCCACATGTCGACTGTCTCTGAGAACCCTAACCGTCCCCACCGTTGTGTTTACTGCGGCCTCTGCTTCAAGCGATCAGAACACCTGAAGCGCCATGTGAGGAGGCGTACGTCTTAGCCTCTTTTCGCCGTCAAAAACCTTTGGTCAATCCTTGCTGACAGTTCACTAGACACCAAGGAACGACCTTTCCGTTGTCGAATATGTGGGGAGAGCTTTTCCCGAAAGGAATTGCATGACCGCCATCAACGCACCCGCCATGGAGCGACTGCAAGCATTCCATTACCCGAGATTGTAGAATCAGACCCATCTGCAGCTACTCATCCGAATTCGTACTCGCCAGGGCAGGTTGATGCTGTTCAAGGTGACTCGTCCAGTCGACCACCGTTCACCTCCTTCGTCCAGGAGCCGGCGGAACCAGCACTGCACGCTCCTTTAGCGCCGGAGGCACATCGACATGAGAACCTTTATTTGGCGGGGGCTCCGGGTAGTCCTGGATTCCAGGAGAATGCGTACTCTGTGATCTCCGACCGGCGTCGAGACTCTCGACTCCAGACGCCTCTAGGAAGCGAGACTCCTCCGTGGTTGAAATTACCCAGCGGGCTGGAGTTCGCATCGCTTCTCTCAGCTCTGAATAGATCTCCATTATCTACAAGTCTTCCGACACCGCTACGGCTGTGCACACCGCAAAGTGAGGCGATCTTTGAAAATGATCGGAATGAAACTGCCCGTTTGGGGATCGAGAAAGCGCTTGAGGGTTTGAGGGTGCGTCTGCGGGATACAAGTGTCGGACCATGCTGATGAATTTAGACTATCAATGTCGCCGGGAGCGAAGAAAGTTTCCATCGCTTCGAGGTCCCTGAGATGGATTCCCTCTACCGCTACTGGCACATGTTCTTCGAGATACCTCATAAGAACCTTCCGTTCGCTCATCCAAAGTCAGAAATATATCAAATACCAGGTATAAACATAATTCCAGTTTGAGTATACTGTACTGACAACAAACTAGCCATCGCAATTGGTGTGCTTGCCGATGGTGCCATGTACTGTGACGAACCCGAGGTCGGCCAAATGCTGTTTGAGGCCTCACGTCGCATTGTCGCTCACCACGTAGGACCAATGTGTTTCTCTCCTCTATGCACAAACTTATCAAAATATAGTTGAACACACTTTATACCCGCGAAAACAATACTATACCTATCTGGATCTTCACTACGCTCTTGCTGAACTGTGTCTTTGGTCTACCCGGGGGCAAGTCTAGTGAGAGCGACATTACCCTTGGCAGCCTTGACAGCTTGATAAACCTTGCGCGAGTTATCGAATCCGGCCCGGCAATGGATCTGGTCGATCAGGCATCCACAATGGAGGAGAAATGGAAGAGTTACATAGAGGGAGAATCTCATCGCAGGTAAGCTATGCCTACCACTAGGGCCCGACGTTTGCTGATCTTTAGAAGATCGATTCTTTGTTTCATTGTTGTGAGTGGTTTGTGGTCGGTGGCATACGAGCCAATCGTCAATGTCCTGGACTTTCCGTTCAGCCTGATCGAATTCCCCTGGTCGGAGACATTGTGGAATGCTCGTTCAGCCGTCCAATGGCATGCACTCTACCAGAACCCGAGAAGTCGATCGCCTGGCAGCTGGTCAGAGAATGTGGAGGCGCTGCTATTCGGCAAGCCCCAGCCGTTAAACGGCCTGGCCTCTCTTTGTCTCGTAGTCGGGCTTCTACTCTACATCGATGGGCTACGACGGGAAGCAGTTCTCGACGTTGTCGAGATAAACTCATACCTGCAGCATGCTCTAGATCAATGGTTCCAGATACATGACCGAACGAGTATGGAGAATCTGGCCCTCAATCATCTCTGCTATCCCGCTGCCTATTATCTGCGCATCTCCCTAGTCGTGGACATCCGGCAGACAATGGACCTCATGCGCAGTAAGCAGTTCGCAGCCATGCGAAAGGTTCTCCGTGAGGGTGATTTAGTGCAAGCGGCCGCCTTTGCGCGAGCCGCGATGATTCCGTGGGTGATTAGCCGGCGAAATCAGACGTCCATGGTCGCAATTCCATGCGGTAGGCCATACATATCCTTTATCGAATAATAGAAATATACTGACTTTCCAGGGGTGGTTATCGCGGAGTGGGCTATTGACGCGATGGACAACCAGCCCGAGGATTCGCCTCAACGTGAAGTGCTTCGGGGGTTTGAAAACTCGATCCGCGAATATTGGCCTGTAGCACCCTTTGTGACTGCTGTAGATGTCTGGAGGGCAGTTCGGAGAATTATTGCTAATGGACCAGGTACGTTTCCTGCCGATCCTCCAGGTTTGAATCACTAACAGTTTGCAGTTACAACGGCTTTAACGCGGAGTATGGATGCATACGAGATGTCTCTAGCATTAGCTTAGATCAAGGGATAAGGATTTAATTGAACCAATAGAAAGTGTAACCTTTATAAATGTAATCGCTCCGCATCATGCCATGCTCGGCGAATAAATACGAGTCTTACCCTGGCAGCGCTGATAAATCGCACCTGAAGTCTCCTATCAGCATCAAAAAGTCCGGTATTTGACTTTACTACTTACGCCATAGCCACGCCACAGCAAGATCTAGAAGGCTGGGGCCTAGTGGAATGACAGATGGTAAGCGGAATAGCCCCGTCAATAGACACTGGGAAATCCAGCCCACGGGCGGGAATACCCCACAATCTGGGGTAAAAGTTGGGGTAAGCGATCAACACGGGGAAACAGGAATCCATCGATATAAGTAGATCGACACCCTGCATCTTCCTTCTTCCTTTAGTACGGTTCTATCCTATGTACTATCACCATGTACGCAACCGACACCGATATCGAGAAACCCACCACAATGGGGGTCGAGCATGTGGCCGAAACGCCCGTCTCCTCCCTCAGCGAAAAACACTCGCAGGATGTGGAGCAAATCCCCCACTTCACGCCTGAGCAGGAGAAACGGGTCCTCCGCAAGATGGATCTGCGGTTGATTCCCATGCTGTCTGTTTTGTATCTATTGGCGTTTCTGGACCGTGGGAATATTGGGAATGCGAAGATCGAAGGGTTGGTTGAGGATTTGGGGCTGACGTCGCAGGAATATAGCTGGTGTTGTATGTACCTCACTTTGACTCAAGATTCGAGAAAGTTTGCTGACAGGTATCTAGTAACGGTGTTCTTTTTCACGTACTGTGCGTTTGAGATGCCGAGTAATCTACTGCTCAAAAAGCTGCGGCCGTCGAGATGGTTGCCGTTTTTGATGGTTGCTTGGGGAATTGTCATGGTATGTTTGCAACAATCGATAATGAATTTCTGCTGATAAAATAGACGTTGATGGGGGTTGTTCACAACTATGCCGGTCTTTTGTCCGCGCGTATCTTCCTCGGTGTTGCTGGTGAGTTCGCAGCCATACTATATATGCAAGTATCATACTGACCTGCGCAGAGGCTGGTCTATACCCGGGCACCGCCTACTATATCACAATGTGGTATCCCCGCGAAAAAGCCCAGTTCCGACAGGCTCTCTTCTTCAGCTCGGCCAGTATCGCCGGTGCTTTCTCGGGACTTCTCGCTTACGCGATTAGTGTATGTCTCCGTGGCCCTGCAATGACAAAAGCTAACGGAGAATAGAAAATGGACGGCGTGGGCGGGTATGCCGGCTGGCGGTGGATTTTCATCCTGGAGGGACTCCTCACAGTTGCCGTCGCCTTTGTCGCCCCCTTTGCGATTCACGACTTCCCCGAGACGGCCACCTTTCTGACCGAGGAAGAGCGCCGATGGGTGATTCACAAACTGCGCTCTCAATCTGGACGCGACACCACGCAAGATGGGGCAGTCCACGAGGAATCGCGCTTCCGCGTACGCTACGTGGTTGATGCGTTGACGGATTGGCAGATCTATGTTGCTTTGTTTAGTATGTTTTCCCTCTGCGTTGCTCGGATGACCTGGCTGACCTACTGATCAGTGTACTGGGGGATCACCACTCCTCTCTACGGTATCTCATACTTCTTGCCATCCATCATCAAGGACTTAGGGTACAAGTCTTCAACAGCGCAGTTGCTCACGGTGCCGATCTACATTGCGGCGGCCATCGTGGCTATCGGTGCGGCCTGGCTATCGGATCGCCGCAAGCAGCGATCTCCATTCATTCTCTTCTTCATGTCGCTGATTGCCATCGGGTTCATCATTGTCATTGCCTCCACCGGTCGAGGAGTGCCAGGGGTCGTCTACTTTGGTGTTTTCGTCGCTGTCGTCGGTAAGCTTCCCTCACCCACCCCGCAAAAAACAGCAACGAGTCTGACAGGCTAGGTATCTATCCTGCTTTCCCAGGAAACGTCACCTGGCTCAGCGTCAACCTGGCCGGCGACTACAAGCGTGCGGCCGGAATGGCCATCCATATCGGGTTGGGTAATATGGCCGGTGGTAAGTATCTTTCGATTGCCTTAGACCAAACAAAAAAAAAAAAGAAAAATGCTAAAATGCTAATTCTGCAGCCATGGCATCCAACTTCTACCGCGCGCAGGACGCACCCAGGTATATTCTGGGCCACTCATTGGAGTTGGGGTTTGCAGTGGTGGGAATCATTGCAGTGGTGATCCTGCGATTCTCGTATCAGCGCATCAACAAAAAACGAGATCAGATGGATGTCTCGGGCTATGATAACGCTCAGTTGGCCAGGATGGGTGATCGGTCGCCTCTGTTCAGGTATATGCTGTGATGACGGTCGATTGGTAAAGTCACGAAATGTGGTAATGGGCATTGAGAATTTGTTATTACGAGCGATGTAACCAAATCAATTACCTGAAAAGGAGTTCGGATTTAAGCGAGATGAATTCTGGTTGCTACGTCATGATTGGTTGGATGAGAGCCCCTACGGACCCTTTGCTAAGCTATTCTCCTCGAAGCTTTCTACTAAACAGGAGTTAGTTTCAGGCACCAGAGGCACTAGTTGTCTTAGGACAGACTTAGCTGCGCTCTAAACAGTCATGGCTGAGTCCAGGCTCGTTTCTGTCCTTGGCAGTCAGATTCAAAAATTTTCGAGCGTTCAATGTGTGAGGATGGAAGAGTTAGAATCATAATCCTTTCTGTAGTTGATTTTCGTCGTTCCGTCAGTGACCAATAGGGATTATATCCTGTCCTTTTTCACGAAGTTTAGATATATGTATACACACCCTTCATGTGAATCAGGTCTGCGCTATACGAAGATATCTAGCCACCTGAGCCAAGCTTGGGCTCTAGCTAAGCTAATGTAGTGCTCTAAGTCTAAGTCATAACACAATAGTAACAACCATAGCTGATTCGCTGTGTCTCACATGGGCTAAGGCGTTCTTCCTTTTCTTAAATGAGGCTCTCCTTCCCACTTTCAACTCTTAATTCTGTCCACTTACTTCCCCTCAATAGTTGTACAAGCGTCATGGCGGGCACCACCTCCCTCCGCGGAAGAGACTGGATACACTTCGGCCTGCGTATCATCTTCTGCGCGTCTGCAATTGCTCTTCTTGCCGTCACAGCACGCCTAGCTACAGGATGGGGAGGAGACAATGAGGAGCCCCCGATCGTGCTTCCCATCGTTCTAGCCACGGTGAGCCACACACCATTTTTTTGGGGGGTAAGAAACAAATCTAATGACTACAGGCTTCCCTGGTGATCGTCACGGACTTCCTCGCTCTGTTCCTGCTCTTCCGGTACGTCGGCTTCATCACAGCGACGGCCATCCTCGACATCCTCCTCATCATCCTCTGCGCTATCGGGGCTGTTTCCATCTCAACGGGGGACTTTGCCTTTTACCTGGGGCTTTACTATCATGATTACCCGTCAGTGTCGGCGCAGGCGGAGATTATCATCTTTGCGTTGAATATTCTTGTTGCGTAAGTGGTGCCAATCCAGTCGCTGAGTATCCATGAGACTAAATGATGGTTGTTGCAGGTGGGAGAGGATTCTTTCGATAATTTTGTGCTCTGTTTCTCGTAGGGGGCGGTTGGTGGCTGAGGATGCTAAGGAGGTTCCGGTGCAGGCGCAGGCCTGCTATGAATAGTGTATTTCTTCTGGATGACTCTTAATACTGCATACTGCACTTTAATGAGAATACTGGCTCGTCCATCATGGAAGCTGATTTGAGGCAAAACGGCTACAACGATGTCCCCTCCGCCATTACCTGCGGCACCGCCAACCGCCGTCCCTGCTCATCACAGACCTTGACAACCCTCGGCGTAATCACCATCCCCTGTCTTCCTGAATAATCCCAGACAAACTCAAAAGCACAGGGCTGCGCAAACAGCCACCGACCCAATTCCGCCGCGGTGGAAGCTACAGACTTTAAATGCCGAAGGCGTTCTGCCCTAGTATGCACGGGATTGGCATACCCGGTGAACGTGTCGGCAAATCGCTCTGCAAGCCTGTCGATGGCATGCTCGTCCACGTCGCGAGCGGCCTGTTGGCGCTGGTAGAGGTACGCTGTCAGCATACGCCACTGAAATAGCACTTGGTCTGTCTCTGCAGACATGTCAGTTTTCTCAATGTCTATTGCAGTGCGCAAGGCGTACGCTACCTGGTGTCTGATTCACGACTTGCGGACATGTCGCGTAACATGCAGGGAGAAGACCCCCCTTCCCAGGCCCGGGGGTGATCTGCTGTAGTAATTCCCGAACAAGGATATGAGCGAGGGCCGCGCGATGCCTGCCTGGTTTAGCCAGCAAGGTTGCAATCGGTGACGGCAGGTACGGGGACTCGTAGCTTGCAAGAGACGTAGCCGGGTCGTGCAGACTGGATGCTGCTGTGGAAGAGTAGTAGTTGTCGACGTGGAGACTGGCATGATCGAACAGCGTGAGGATCCGCGCGCGTACTGTCTCGTCGTCGGCCGGGTGAGGGGTATAAAGCGAGGATGCGGGTGCGCCTAGATGTAGTGATGGATGCTGCGGTGGTGGTTTATCTTCGCGGAATTGCTCTGAACGGCCTGCGCGTGCGCCTTTTCTGCGCCGACGGAAGAAGAGAAAAGCACCCAGGATTGTCAGTGCGGCGGTGCCGATGATGCAGCCGACAATCGCGCCGGCTAGAGCGCCTCTGCTCACATTGTTTGGCGACGGTTGGGGAAGACTGGTTTGGTTAGTCGTGGTGCTTGACGCAGTAGAGCTGGCGATTGTGCTGCTCGAGTTGAGAGAGATGCTAGACGGTATGACGGAGGTGGTCGGCGATGAAGCTGACGGAGAGCCGGGCGTTGATGTACTGGTTAACACTGCTTCTGAGTTTGGTGGGGATGTCGCAGCTGCGCTTGTCGAGGTTGGTGTGGACGGTTCCTGACCGGGTAGAGGAGAGGACGATGCCGTGCTCGAGGGAGACGCCAATGGCGTCGTTGTGTCAGTGGTCGAGGAGATCGTCGTAGTGGCAGCCATTCTGTGAGTAGATTCAGGCGGAT